CTGATACAACATCAGTAAAATCATCTATTCTTGCCCTAAAATCAGTCAGCCTATTCTATCAAACACGTTTAAATAACAAAATATTTAACCATGTTTATAATTATATGTATCCTAGTCTAAATTTACAATTTAAAAAGTTGGATAGGATTCTCCCTTATGTTTCAATTTCATAGAAGCAGTAATCAGTCGTGGGACCTTGAATCTGAGTCGAGTCGCAAGTCGCGGCACCTCAAGTCCAAGTCGAGTCCCACATCGCTGACTTTAGAACCAAGTTGAGTTGAAGAACAAGTTGCTGACTTTAGTACCAAGTCGGGATGAGTACCAAATCGCTGACTTTAGTACCAAGTCGAGCTGAATCACAAGTTGCTGACTTTAGTACCAAGTCGAGTTGAGTCCCAAGTCTTTGCAAATGCCAAGTCCTGTTCAAGTCGCCAGTCCATCAAGTCCTAAGCTCTTTCAAGTCGCGAGTCATCACGACTGCTAAGTCTGAGTCGAGAGTAGGGTCACAATACATATTTCAAGTCGAGTCCCAAGGCAGGATATTGATTCTACCTTAGTTGGAGACTCAAGTTCCCATCTCTGTAACAATGAAAACAATATATTTGATGATAAGAACATTGTAAATAGGTTAAACTTTTTGTATCCTGATACCAGAAAGATTACAACTCTAAGTACCACTTTTTTGATTGGTCAATGTCAATGTGGAAAATTGCACAAACAGAAAAGTTAATATGTTCAATAACTAATTCATAACAATATACATTATACTTAAACATAGATCTATTTAACAAAATTATTTTCTCCTTTAAAAGATGCATTATGTAAGAATTTAGATAAAGAGTGGGCTTGCTATAATAGGGATTTCGCCCGTATCTTCCGGACAAGTCCAACACTATTTTCCAAACATCCTAAATTGTCCGACCAGGAATCTGCATAATCAGACATCAAGACATGGTGAATAAAATTCAAAATTACAAAATTAATATAGTGTACTGAGTGTATATGTACCATTCAATATATAAATTTTTCATTCTCTTTATTTTTAAAGTTTAAGAATAGATACGGAAAAATTCATACATTGAAAATTTCAGTCAATTACTATATTACATGTAATTCTGAGAGATGTTATGACTGTTTGAAGTTTTAACAAGAAATAGCGTAAGTAGTCCCAATTGTCAAGTACCATAGATATGATACATCGTAATAATAATGTTTCGATATTCCATTTCAACGTTCAACGAATATATGGTAGACGTTGTCTAATTCACTTAATATCTCAGCCATCCAATGCTCTAGAGAGTTGATTTTGGGCATGTCACGTGAATAATGTCTAAATAATAATTCTTATAATATTGAAAACCAGAAAAAGGATAGATTTAGTTCTGTCACAATGCATCATGATCTATAATTAAAACACATGAAAGAAACATAAGAAATATTTTTAATTGTAATTCAAGAAAGTGACGTTATCCAGATGCATCTAATATTGCTGTATGACGAGGATTAGCGATATTATCCCCTGTTCGGATGTTACTTGATGGTAAAATAGTTGCTTCTATCACCTCCTCAACAACTGGTTCTGTAACGTAAGCCAAAAATAACCTTGATAAACCAACCATGCAACATGCGTTAAAATGTTAGTAATATAACGTAAAAGGTTAGAATAATGTACATGGGTGTCCACAGAGTTTTGTACAAGTGTGGGCCGCTGAGGTGGGGGGGGGGGGGTAAGTTATTGGTACTTCCAAGCAAATCTGGTTACAAAACTTTTGATAATAATTATGTTAATATTATAATTATATGTCTTTAAATTAAAAATGGAAATGATTTTTAATGTAACCGAAATTTACCACATTTTAAAAGATAGGTTGCCAGTAAATTACTGATTTTTCAAGGTGATTAAAGGCAATACATCTGAAATTATTGGAAATCATTGAAAATCAGTAAATTAACATTGTAGTTTGAATTAAATTTGATAAGTTTCACTGCTAGGGCATTGACAATATCAAGGGAAATAACCCTGAAAGTAATTATTGGAAATCGTTGAAAAAAGAGAGAGAGAGAAATGGGGTTTAACGTCCACTCAACACAAACTAGGTCATTTCGGGATTAACATATGGTTTAATTTTATTTCAATAATTCGCTTGCGCATAGGGGTCTTTAGCAGTGGGAGGAAACCGGAGGACCTGGAGAAAACCCACGAGGTTGGACAGGCGACCCTACTCTTTGTCACGTACAACCATGGATTCGAAACCACGCCAGTCGACTCAATGACAGACTTTATGATACAGCGCGTGCACGCTAACCATTCAGCCATCCAACCCCCCCCTCGTTGAAAATAAATAGGCTTCTTCATTTATTAAAACAAAGACTTAAGGTATATAAAATGTAAGACAGTCAGATGATAACCATGACCTCAAGAACAGGTGTGTCGATAATATACGATCACATTTCAAAGTGAGAATTATATAAAAAACATTCTAAAAATTAACCAAAGATTTTTTGTGACAAATTGCCCTACTGTTGCCCTTGCTTGCAGACACCCATGAACATGCTGTTATACTTCAGTTTACACATATTTCCTTTGCCCATCACAAACTGAAGTCAGTTTTCCTGATGTTAAAGGAGCTAAATTGCTAATATTTGCCACTTAAAAATTGACACAAATGTGTCGTTTCCGCTTTTACAGTAATTTCTAATCAGTTATATTTCGTCGAATATAACTGATTAGAAATTACAGTAAAAACAGAAACGATTGAATGTAAATCAGTTTATATACATTCATATTACATTATTATATGCGTTGCGACCCATTTGTCAATTTCAGAAATTGATCTAGGTCCCAAATATTAGTGATTCAGCTTCTTTAATCTACAGACAACAAATCTCAAATGTGCACAGAATTAAATCAAGTCAACACTTTTTTACAAGTTATTATTTCTTCTTTGATTGGTATTTAGTAATTGAACATGTTAACACAAGGTACAATTTTATGGATACACAATTACTGAGTTTAATGCTAAGCGACGTTTGGATGAGGATACTTCGTCTTTATTAATCAAAAGATGAGAATATCCTCATGGAAACGTCACTTAGTATTAAACTCTGTAATTGTGTATCCATAAAATTGTACCTTGTGTTAATATGTTCAGACACTTTAAGACCTAAAACTATATATATACATGTATAAAAGGTGAATAGAAACAATGAAAGCAAATAAAGCTAATGCATAAAAGCAATTTGATTAAAATACAGATCTATATTTCGTTTCGTTTTTTTATACTTTCGATGTCCTGCACTACATGAAGATCTGACCAGCTGTAGTGGAAGGTCGCGTCAGCGGTCATGCGAGCAGCTTTTGACCCTATGATGTCAGACATTTGATTAACCAATCAGCATTGATGTTTCTAGTGGGTTACCCACAGTCCCGTGCACCTCACACCAAAAACGTGCCCTAACAGACTATTTCATTAGATAATCCCTCACATCATCCAAAACCTGAGTTATACAACAACTCTTCCAGATCCTAGTGTATGAAAGACAAGTTAAACGAAATTTTGAACTATAAAAAACGAAATTAAATACATGTAGGATCTGTGTTTTAATCTGATTGACATAAAAGGGTCAGTTAATAAAATAAGCACTAAAAATGAAATTAAAGTAATACATATGTCATTAGTTGTCTCCCTTTTAAAATATCAATCTGTAATGTTTATGAGAAATAAACAAAACAACCGAGTATTCATTGTTTCTTATAGAAAATACATGGCTATTCTTACTTTCACATTAACTCTCAAAACATCCACATCTCTCAGTCATAAATTAAATTTTTTACTAAATACTGATGACAGCTATATATTATAGTTAGGGGGTAGAGGAGGGAGGCAGTGAAGAGGGGGAATCATAGCTCTATAACATTTGCTCCTTTAAAATTTGTCGCCAACAGTAACACAAACATGAGGCAAATATGCATTTTTGTTTTTTCTCTATCCAGTTACTAAATGCTATTTAAAGATTTTTATAATAATAGGCTGATTACAAATGTACGGATGTTTATATGAATATAGCACAGGCTACACAAAAGCAGAATAACAAATATCCTGGAAGATGTAAATTATGTGCATATGTCTCGTAATTTTGTTTGTTGATGTTTGTAGTATGTGTAGTTATTTGTTGACAGTGTGTGTGTGTTAAACAAAATGTAATAGCACTGATGGGTAGTACTTGTACATCATGTTAGATTTCAGGTACCATACCCTATAAATGCATTATTATTATTATTTTAAACTTGACACAAACTAGGTCATTTCGGGTCTAACATATGGTTTGATTGTATTTCAGCAGCAGTGGGAGAAAACTGGATCCTACTCCTTGTCACGTACAACCGGGGAATCGAAACCACGGCAGTTGACTGGATCCTACTCCTTGTCACGTACAACCGGGGAATCGAAACCACGGCAGTTGACAGACCTTATGATACAACGCGCACGTGCTGACCATTCGGCCATTCAACCCCTCCCCCCTGTTTTAAAGATCATAGAACAAAATGACCAATAGACACCCATGTTCCGATGGCCTATAGACACTTTATTATATAAATTTACAATAAAGCATATGGTACGGATATGAGAGAAAGAGAGAAATGGGGTTTAACGTCCACTGGACACAAGCTAGGTCATTTTGGGACTAACATATGGTTTTATTTTATTTCAATAATTCGCTTGCGCGTAGGGGTCTTTAGCAGTGGAAGGAATCCCGGAGCACCCGGAGAAAACCCACTAGGTTGGACAGGCGACCCTACTCCTTGTCACGTACAACAGGGGATTCGAAACCATGCCAGTCGACTCAATGACAGACTTTATGATACAGCGCGCGCACGCTAACCATTCAGCCATCCAACCCCCTGTTCGGATATGATTAATGAAGTATTCTAAGTATTAGAGGGTATATGTCTATATGCAGGATGGTTGATGCTTTAAAAAGAAATATATTTTACTTACCGGTACCTGAATCACCTTGTGGTAGTAATGCCTGGATTAAAATAAATACAAAAAATTTGAAATCAGAGAGAGAGAAATGGGGTTAAACGTCCACTCAAGACGAACTAGGTCATTTTGGGACTAACATATGGTTCAATGATTTTGATCGCAAGGACAGATTTTTAGGTTTATATCCACATGAATGACCAGTTCTAAAGACAATCTAACCACTGTCTTGGGTCTCGCCACAGTTACTGATCTTCACGATATCTTCCTCTTTAATTGACCAATCGCAGCTATCAATTTTTCCATATCGTCATCATATTACCCCTAGATACAGCTTTCATCCAAATAACACTGGTACAGTAAAGTGTTTGTAAGTATTATTTTGGTTTGGTAATGAAATGTTCCAGGTTCCAGGGTTCGTCTGTCCCCCCCCCACCCCCAAAAGTTATGACAAATCCATGCCCTTGTTGGCATTTGAGCAAGAGGACGCCAAGACAATATTTCATTTTAAATCTCATTGAGAATTGTTCTATTTATGAGAGATATTTATGTATGACCTCTGAGGCGACCTCCCAGTACAACTGGTCAGATCTTCATGTAGTGTAGGCCATCGAAAATATGAAAATACGAAAAGAAATATAGATGTATATTTTAATCAGATTGCTCTTTTTATGAGAGATATTTATGTCTGAAATATCCCATTCGGCAAACCTCGACAGATTCTAAGCATCTAATCTCGGCTGTATGACGAATTCCACCATATTGGACCTATTTTAAAGGTCCCGGATGAAAAATGGCTGCGCCCATGGAGATTTCTGTGGAGAGTGTATTATATCAACAAACGTCAAGTTTGGCATTGGGTTTGGGGAATTACCAGAGAATTATATCAAACCAGCAGCCTTGAGACAATATCTCTGCTCGTTTAGTTATATACACTCGACAAAAGACGCCATTTTGGGACTTTTTTGTAAAAGCGGCACGTTTTCCTGTTAAAGTAAACCGGTAGCCGCATCGCAAATGTATGGTCGTAGGTACATATCAATTACTATCATACAGCCGAGGTTAGATGTAGGGTACCAGAATCTGCCGAGGTTTGCCGAGTGTGAAATATCCAAGATGGAGCTAATTAATCATGAATATATGATACATGTATTCACTGTAACCCAGGTATCATTTAATCTTGTGTATCTAGCACTAATTTCTTTCACATTCGTTTAATATCAAATCTTTGTTTAAATCTTTAAAATCACCATAAATCGTTTAATTTGTACTTCTGTCCAGTTTAAAGCTGACTATTCAATTTTGATAATGAGTGTCCAATTTACAAGTGTTTAATTTCACAATCACTGTTACAAAATAAACAACCCAATTGATTAGGGATGTATAATGATTAATGTTTGAACAATAGTCAGGAAATTGAATACTAGTAAATTGGACACTATCAAAATTAATCAGTCAGCTTTAAACTGGACCCAAATACAAATTAGATGATTTTGGGCGATTTTAAATGATTTTTATAAATTTTTAATCAAAGATTTAATACTGAACGAATGTGAAAGAAATTAGTGCTAGATACACAAGATTAAATGATACCAGGGTTACAGTGTAAGTTCTTTCATTGCTATTTTCTTGAAATGTTTTTCAACCCGAGGCGTTGGCATTGGAAACAGCCCCCCTCCACCCCCTACTAAATTTTTTAAATTTCAAACATTTGAAATGGCAACTCAAAATATTCCTACGTAAAATACAGATGTGACATCATCCTTTGATGTTGGCGTACTATTGTTTCCAATAATGTACAAGCAACTTGCCAATCGTACATTATCTATACTAGATGAAATATTGGACTTGCGTGACGTATTTCATTGAAAAGCACATGCGGAATAGTGTCTGTATTTTAAGTTGTATTAAGGTCTCGAGCTAAAGACATTGCATAATATATTGAAAACACATTCGGCTTACGCCTCGTGCAGTATCAATATATTACTTAATGTAACGCCATCGACCATTAAACCATACATAAATATGTACTTTCATTAATATGTAGGTGTTGGTATTTAGGCAAGAAGACGACAAGACAATATTTCATTTTAAATTCTCATTGAGAATTATTCTATTTATGAGAGATATTTATGTGTGAAATATCCGAGATGTATTATGGAGCTAATTAATCATCAATATATTATATTAATACCCAACTGAGTTGATATTCTACTATAAATCAATAATAAAAGTGTTATTATCACTGGTATCATATTATCACTACCCTATATATCTCTCTAAATAATTAATAAATAACATTACATCCGGTAGAGAGAGAGAAATGGGGTTTATGTCCACTCAACACAAACTAGGTCATTTTGGGACTAACATATGGTTAAATTTTTTTATTTCATTAATTTACTTGCGCCAAGAGGTCTTTAGCAGTGGGAGGGAAACAAGAGGACCCGGAGAAAACCCTCGAGGTCTGACAAGCGATTACATCTGGGAGCAATATGATATAGATAAGATAAGATTAAGAACAACCCTATATATATATATATATCTCTTTCTGGATAATAAATAAATAAATTTACATCCAGTAGCAATATGATATATGTAAGATAAGATTAAGAACAACCCTATATATATATCTCTTTCTGGATAATTAATAAATAACATTACATCCGGTAGTAATATGATATATGTAATTTCCATATTTCATTATTTTTTTTACATGCACACATTTTGTTTCGTATTTTCATTTAATACGTACCCTGCATGTGGGTTTTATACTGTCTGCAGGTTGTGTGACCGCCCATAATTTGTATACTTGTATTTCATACTTTGTTGCTCAGACTGGGCTAATGAAGACGGGCATACACCATACAGTGTACTATGAGGGATATTTTGCCCAGGCAGTGGCACTAAGGCCTACTCTTATATTGTTTTTTTTTGTCCCATCCAAACAACTAGACAGCTCTCATTGTCAGGCCCTCCATCCTGCACTACTGACAATGGAAAAACATGCCGGAAAAATCCAGATGAACTTTCTCGGCCAATGCAGGGATCGAACACCCGACCTCAGGGCGAGTGAGCCAGCATCTTACCCACTTAGCCACCGTGGTTCCCTGTTTAATGTAGACTATTCGCGTAACAAATAACATGTATAATAGTCTACCAAGATTTAGATACTTATATTTTAGAAATCAAATTTCTTTTTCATAAATTATGATAAATTGTTAATTTTTTTATTATAATTAAGAGTCAATATTCACTCTTTTCAACAAAATAGCCAGCTAACAATATCCTTGCTAAATTTTCCAATACAGTCAAATTGAAATTCAGGTTTAACTTTAAATGCTATCAATATTAACATTTTGTAAATACTTTTCCGATACCGGTTTTAAATTATAATTAAACACAACCACAATATGCGATGGTTCCTGTTCAAGGTTCAAGAATATTTCGATTTGGAATACTAGTAGAGAGAGAGAGAGAAAGAGAGAGAGAGAGAGAGAGAAATGGGGTTTAACGTCCATTCGACACAAACTAGGTCATTTTGGGACTAACATATGGTTTAATTTTATTTCAATTATTCACTTGCGTGTAGGGGTCTTTAGCAGTGGGAGGAAACCGGAGGACCCGGAGAAAACCCACGAGGTCGGACAGGCGATCCTACTCTTGTCACGTAATTCGGTTGCGCGTAGGGGTCTTTAGCAGTGGGTTGAAACCCGAGGACCAGGAGAAAACCCACGAGGGTCGACCCTACTCCTTGTCACGTACAACCGAGGATTCGAAACCATGCCAGCTGAATCAATGACATTCGGTCACCCCCCCTCCCCCAGGAATACTAAATAAGCATGTGGAATGTATTACAAGACATCTGCACTACCATGACCTTTACGTGAGAACCAATAATGCCAACCCTCAAATAAACAGTAATAATCATACATGGCTGTTTGTTATGCCAGAGAGCTACACTAGGATGTGTGTTAATATGTGTTCAGCCTAATTCCCTCCATACAGAAGAATGCTGTAATGCTATACACAAACTACCTAGACTAATTATCAGCACTATCCAACAAAAACATAGTACAGACCAAACCATTCATAAAATACTTCAATCAAAATGGACAAGGATAAAGAAACAAGAGAATCTATATTCAAGTTATAGATACCGTAAAAATAACTTACAGGCATGTTGCTGTGTAAAAATCAATTAATCTGACCTCTGCTTGCCTGAACTTATAGTCGTCTGCTCAATACAGAATTCTCAAACTACTGATGAGCTCAGAGTGAAATTTCCAAAAATAGTCACACAGTAGTTGTACATATAGTCAGTGTATTAGAGAACAGATCAGTCGTGAGAAAACTAATATTCTCTAGAATCAACCTACTAAATACAACTCATTTAGTTAACAAAAACCCTATAGAATTTCGTCATGCAACATTAAGCAAAGCTGTATTATTTACACATATATTGGATACAAAAAAATTGATTATGCAAATTGAAAAAGTGTAAGTTTCTTGGAATGGAGAGAGAGAAATGGGGTTTAATGTTCACTCGACACAAACTAGGTCATTTTGAGACTAAAATATGGTTCAATTTTATTTCAATAATTTGCTTGTGCGTAGGGGTCTTTAGCAGTAGGAGGAAAACCCACGAGGTTGGACAGGCGACTATACTCCTTGTCACATACAACCAGGAAATCGAAACCACGCCAGTTGACTCAATGACAGAGCTAATGGAACTAGATCTAAATTACACATTATTTCCTTTGGTAGATCAATCATAAAATGTTTAGGGCATTATTTCATTTTCTTTTACATATGTGACAAAAGACATTGAATACAGGTTCAATTTATTGAATACTAGAAGAATGCCCGACTTCGCTTGGGGGTCATAACCTTGAAACCGGAAGTGGTAGACTAAAGCCACCTGGCCTATGTTACTCCCTGGTCCGAGCTACCCCTATACCCCAAATTTCAGACTCGGGGCAGATCTAGTGTAGCCACCAACCCCGAACAGACAGACAAACAGACAGACAGACAAACGACAGTCACAAATATTAGTATAGATATCTATGTTCATTTGGCATTCCACAGTCTCAGTTATCAGATCATATCAAAGCAAACAGGTATATTTAACGAATAAAAAAAACCCCAGACGTCAGTTTTAAATTGTTTTGTCAGTTTTAAATTGTTTTGTCAGTTTTAAATTGTTTTGTCAGTTTTAAATTGTTTTGTTTTAAATTGTTTTGTCAGTTTTAAATTGTTTTGTCAGTTTTAAATTAGTTTTACATTGTTTTAAACTGTTTTAAATTGTTTTGTAAATTTTAAATTGGTTTAAAATTGTTTAGTTCGATTTAAATTAGTTTTAAACTGTTTTAAATTGTTTTGACAGTTTTAAATTGTTTTGTCAGTTTTAAATTGTTTTGTCGGTTTTAAATTGTTGTGTCAGTCTTCAATTAGTTTTACATTGTATTTTCAGTTTTAAATTGTTTTGTAAATTTTAAATTGTTTTGTAAATTTTAAATTGGTTTTAAATTGTTTAGTTAAGATTTAAATAAGTTTTGACGGTTTTAAATTGTTTTTTCAGTTTTTTTAAAATTGTTTTTTCAGTTTTTTTAAAATTGTTTTGTCGGTTTTAAATTGGTTTGTAAGATTTAAATAATTTTTTTCAACTTTAAATTGTTTTGTAAATTTTAAATTGGTTTTAAATTGTTTTGTTAGATTTAAATTAGTTTTGTCAGTTTTAAATGTTTTGTTGTTACTTTTCAAATCACTTTACAATAAATGTTAAGTATTCTGAACAGGAGGCTGTTTCACGAAATTTTGACTAAGATAAAATCGAAATTTAGTAATTTGATTGGATAATATTAGAAAGATTTTAGTGTTTAGCCAATCAAAATTGAAGTCTCTTCTAAAATTTGGATTTTATATTTAGTTAAGATTTCGAGAAACGGGGCCCAGAACCTTAAAAATAATCATTCACTCGATGTTTATTACATTGTACTAAAAATAGCTAAACACACGTAATTCTTCAAAATTATATAATGTTTAGCAAGTACTTTCTGTCATATATTATTATCTTATTATCATATGATTATATGGTGTTACATCCAATACAATAACTCACATTTGTAAGATACTTAAAAAGTGTATAAATTAAAACTTAAAAAAATGAAAAATGTTAAAAAAAATACTAAATCATATACCGATATTTACTGGAGAATAATGTCTTTAAAAACCCACAAAAATTCAATAGATTTTTATCGAGATTTAACAAATGATAGTAAAAAGTGGGAGCTTAATTCACAAAAAAGGGAGACTAAAAAAGAGCATTCATCATATGAAGCCAGTCATGCTCTTGGTTGACCAAGCAGTAAGCCATGTGTTAAAGACACCATAGTTGTCTAGATAGGCAATAAAGCTGTAAATAACTTCTTACACAAAAATATCTACATCAGCTACTTGACTAACAGGATTGGTTTGTCAATTGACACATTATTTAAACAAAAATTTGAATTTATAAAAGGGGGTATGACTATTTTTTTTAACCATAAATGGATCTAAAAGCACATATTAATGTCATATGTGTGTTTATAAAATTAAATGATTTATATTCAATTTTTAAAATAAAAATGTCATTTCTAATCAGTTATGTTAGGTGAAATACCTGAACAGTCAATTATGTTAGGTGAAATAACTGAGCAGTCCAAACTGAACGACAATCATTTACGCCTAATGTAGTGAACGAGTGGATAAATCAACGCTGTTACAATTAAAAGTACTTGGCTTCATTGAGGTCTTAACACAAAGTGATGCTCTACACAGACCAGAACCTGATGCTGTTTGTGCCACGTGACATCTAGGGTCACCTCCTACACTAATTAGCCCATTCTTCACATTTTTATTATTATAATTTTATCATTTGTGAATTGTAATTTAGAATATGTTTTTATTTGTTCATTTCTTTTGCGCCCGAAACGATAGGGTACACGACTCGTGTACGGATTTTAAATTGTTCATTGTGTCTTAAATATTGTATATTAGGATCCCACATTTTCACAACATAACAACATCAATATGGATTGAAATGGACCAATATTGAATTCTAATTTGTGTTTTTAATTTCGAATATTATGGAAAATATTGAGTTAGAGACTTAGCTCCTTTAACTCTTCTTTATACATGTTGTAAACTTATTTGGGTTAAATATCTGTAATAAGTTTTGGTCGATAATTTTAGATATAAATTACGTTGACATTTAATCAATAGAATATCAAGGCTGCTTGCTACAGTTTGTATTATATTAACCTAATAATGCTTTAATACTTCATATAACTATACATAATACATGTCAACACAGAGAGAGAGAGAGAGAGACAGAGAGAGAGAGAGAGAGAGAGAGAGATGGGTTTAACTGCACTCCACACAAACTAGGTCAATTCGGGAATAACATATGATACAATAATTCGATTGCGCATAGGAGTTTTTTGCAGTGGGAGGAAACTAGAGGAAGAGGAGAAAACCCATGAGATTGGACAGATGACCAACCACATGACTCATTATATCAGACCTTATTTTTAGACTACACGAGCCCCGAAGACTCCCATATATCAACAGAACTTATTAGTTGAGTTTTACACAACTGCTATATGAGGACTAATTCATCAGACTCTTGCATGCTAATTTTAATTCCTTTAAAATTCAGCTAAGAAAATTTATAGATTAATTTATTCTATTTCTATTTTTGAAGTTGAACTTTCTTTTAAATTGAGTTATTTAGTGAAAAGGTCCTGGGCCGGATATTTTTTTTTATCCAAATATTTAAACATGCATTATGCAAGAGCAAAATCTGCTTAGTCTTTCTTTAGGCCTGAAATGTTATCTAAATTATCAATTAGACATTAATTAACTTATCCAGACCATAATAAACTCTCGATGTCAAGGCTATCCTTCGATTTTGGCTGGATTAGATTCCTATATGCCGCTTAACGGCCATTGATAATTAAATCAAAACAGTGGATAATCGAGACTATGCTGTTTATATTAATGATTTTAGTAATGATGACCGAGACTATGCGAAAATTTCACCTGCTTCGTTCTCGGCTCATAGTGGATCAATTTGACTGAAATTTTCAGCAAATTACCTTTACACTATCTAGTTTTTAACTATTATAGCGAGAACTGCCATCTCTTTATCTTATCTCCCATAATGTATCTTTAAGATACATTTTTACAGACTACGATTTGACTAATGTTGATATACAGAAAACTATCTAGATGTATTATAATTTCATAAGCATGGGCAGATAAACTGAGAGAGAGAGAGAAATGGGGTTTAACGTCCACTTGACACAAACTAGGTCATTTCAAGACTAACATGTAGTTCAATTTTATTTCAATAATTCGCTTGCGCGTAGGGTGTCTTTAGCAGTTGGAGGAAACCGAAGGATCCAGAGAAAACCCATGAAGTTGGACAGGCAACCCTGCTCCTTGTCACGTACAACCGGGGAATCGAAACCATGCCAGTTGACTCAAAGACAGACCTTATGATACAACGCACACATGCTAACCACTCGGCCACCCAACTCCCCAGACAGAGACTAACAAACTCATTTCTTCGACAGGCTGGTGGACAATAAATTATGAATTTACTTACATTTTGTGGTGCTTGACCATAAAAGGCCATGTCAAAAACTGAACATAGATCAAAATATATTTCATCTATATCTCTATCACCATTTATCTACAAATAATAAAACAAATATTATCATTAAAATAATCACTAAAATAATAGTAAAGATAAAGGATAATCAGAAAAAATGTGAAAGGCTGCTACATTTGTCTTCAAATGAAAATGTTCTTAATTATTATGTCCATATTATTTTCTAGTAATAGTCAACTAGAGAATTACTTCATGGATCCATTATTTTCTAGTAATAGTCAACTAGGGGATTAGTTCATGGATCCATCATTTTCTAGTAATAGTCAACTAGGGGATTAGTTCATGGATCCATATTTTCTGCTGCTGCTTGATGAAAAAAAAAAATCTTCTAACAATTGATAAGGATCTAGGGTCCTTGAAGTTATCTTATCACTAGGGTTTGTACTCTTGACCCCAATGCTTTCCACCAAATTCAAAAAACATCCATAAAAAACTACAGTCTCTTTTGTGTTCACAAGGTTTCAGGCAAAGGGTGATAACTCCGGAACAAAGTCACGGTACACTGAATATCGATAGGGTTTATCCTCTAATGAGTATATTGAAACGGCAAAAAGAAAATAGTTGGATAACTAGAGAAAAATGGGGTTTAACGTCCACTCGACACAAACTATGTCATTTCGGGACTAACATATGATCCAATTTTATTTCAATAATTTGGTTGCGCGTAGGGGTTTTTAGCCGTAGGAGGAAACCGGAGGACAGACTACCCTACTCCTTGTCACGTACGACCGGGGAATCAAAACCACGCCAGCTGACTCAATGACAGACCTTATGATGCAGCGTGCATACATGTAATTAGAAGGGGTATGTCTGGTTGATCAGCATTAACTAAGTATTGCTGTGTACATGTATATTTGTCTTGTTATATACTCAGCCAAATTAAAAACTTGACACCGATGAATTTCAACAAATTTTTTTTTCTGGTAAGTCAAATAAATTTTAAAGTGTTTCTAACGATAGTAAGTAGTAAGAAGCCTTTAATTTTATAAAATTGTGACTTTTGAGCATATAAAGATGAAAAACCTGAAAAACACGTGCAAACACAAACTTGTGAGGTCAATCAATGCAAGTTTGCTTAAACTGAACACGCACACGTAACTTGAACTGGAAAAACAAATTAAAATTGTTATTTTCATCTTTGTTAGAAAATGCCGCGCCTTTCGAATGTAGAACGTCTACGTGCTATAGGTAGGCTCTATGCTGGTCAGTCTGTGGTCACTGTTGCAAGAGCCTTTAATTGTTCACGCCAGACAATAATTAATCTTAGAATGAGAGTGCTTCAAACTGGAACTATTGCCGACCGCCCAAGGGCGGGAGCGCCACGTGTGACGTCACTCCAGGAAGATCAAGCAATACGATTACGTCATCTTAGAAACAGATTTGTCACTACAACCCCCACAAGTAGAGAGATGTTTGGTGGAAGGGTAACTGCACAAACTGTTCGAAATCGCTTGCAGGCTGCTGGTCTTCGAGCTCGGAGGCCCTATAATGGACCAATATTGACACCTCTTCATAGCCGTAACTGACTTGTGTTGGCCACAAGACACATAAGATTTACTCAAAGACAGTGGAATTCGGTTGTCTTTAGTGACGAATCTCGATTCATTTTGAGATTTGCCGATGGCAGGGCCCGAGTGTACCGCAGACGAGGTGAACGTTACGCTCAAGTATCCGTCAGGGAAGTTGACCGATTTGGTGGCGGCAGCGTCATGGTTTGGGGTTCTTTTTGTGCACATGAACGTTCTCCTCTTGTTGTTGTCCAAGGGAACTTAAATGCTGTCCAGTACAGGGATCAGATTTTGCAACCTGTTCTTCTCCCGTTTATGCAGAGACATGGGCCTGGACTAACGTTTCAACAAGACAATGCTCGACCCCATACAGCAATTGCTACCCAGAATTTTTTAAGAAATGCCGGTGTCCAAGTCCTGGATTGGCCGTCGCTTAGCCCCGACCTTAATCCTATTGAAAACATCTGGGACGAACTGGGTCGACGTGTTCGTCAGCAAGTGAATCCACCACTGTCGTTGCAGGACCTTCAACATGCTCTTGCTGAGCAGTGGCGACGTCTTCCTCGGGTAGTGTTTACTAATGTTCTGAGATCCATCAGAAGACGTTGTGTGGCAGTACGAGAGTAACGAGACGCTAGAGGAGGCCACAACCGTTACTAAACACTTTATTCCGATTGTTCTCCAAGTCTGTGAATTTCATTTTGGGGGGTACTGTGACATCACGAACGTTATCAATGTCAAGGACTTTCGGCGAGACGTATTCTTGCTTTCTGTTGATGTCAAGGTCGTCTGTGCACAACATAACACTAAAATAGTTGCCTTAGACCAAATATTAAAAATCTAGTCCCAAAAATCCTGAGTGTCAAGTTTTTAATTTGGCTGAGTATATTTTCACATCTTATCATTGCTGAATAATAACTAGAGAAGCCTAGTCGAAACAACACTCAGTAATAAGCAGTAATTGTATTCCATAGAATTGTGACCTGTATATAACTATTACATTTTGTTATTTTTTGGACAAATATCTAAAAAGAGCAATATATCATACACACCACAACTAATTTTCCATCCTCGTCAAAATATTTCAATACAGGTAAGGTATTATTTTTGAAGAAAGTTAATCTATTGGATATAGCTGATAAATTGTCATCTATACGTTCAGTTTTTTCACCTCTTTCAACCAGTCTCTTCTGTAAATAATACTCTTCACAATCTAAAACAATGGCGAATCCTAACCCACCAATCTGTAAGAAACAAGATATGTATAACATACATATATTATGCAAGAGCTAAATCTGCCTATTTCAGGTCTTTCTTTAGGCATGAAATGTTATCTAAATTATTAATTAGACATCAATTAACTTATCCAGATCATAATCAACTCTCGATGGCATCACTAGCCTACGATATTTACTGGATTTGAATCCGATCTACTGCCCAACGCTCACTGATGATTAAATCAACCAGCGGCTGACAGGCAGGATACGCCCAAAATTTTCGAGAGATGGATAGAGAACAAGCTAAAAAGAAAGTGATTTTTTCTACATTCAAGGGCCATAATTCTGGAAATTACAATTTGATATGCACAAATATCGAAAGGAACCAAGATCTTTGGTTTATAAACTTACATTTCAAGTTTCAACAAAATAGGATAAAAATTGTGACCTCTATAGGGTCCACAACCTTGATATACCATATTTTTACGCTATTTGAGAACGAACAGCGGCCATTTTGTCCTTAGGGTGTAACGGTGATATAATAATACGGCTTTTTAAATCGGATAAAAATTATGACCTCTATAGGGTCCACAAGCTAAAAACGCGATTTTTCGTACAATCAGGGGCCATAATTCAGGAAGTTAGGGTTCGATATGCGCAAACATCGAAAAGAACCGAGATCTTTGGTTTATAAACTTACATTTCAAGTTTCAACAAAATAGGATAAAAATTGTGACCTCTATAGGGTCCACAACCTTGATATACCATATTTTTACGCTATTTGAGAACGAACGGCGGCCATTTTGTCTGTCAATTGTGATCCGATTTTCACGAAATTCGAACTCAGTCGTCCTTAGGGTGTAACGGTGATATAATAATACGGCTTTTTAAATCGGATAAAAATTATGACCTCTATAGGGTCCACAAGCTAAAAACGCGATTTTTCGTACAATCAGGGGCCATAATTCAGGAAGTTACGGTCCGAAATGCGCGAATATCGAAAGTAACCAAGATCTTTAGGTTATAAACCTACATTTCAAGTTTCAACAAAATCGGATAAAAATTGTGGGCGTATAAAAAATGGATAATCAAAACTGTGTTTATCGTACCGACTTTAGTAATGATGATCGAGGCTATGCCTAAAAGTCAATCGCTAAATTCTCGGTTCAGAGTGGATCAATTTGAATGAAATTTTCAGCAAATTCCCTTTACATTATCTGGTAACCAGCGCACTGGTATATTTGAGACTTAGAACCGTTCTAATCTAGTTAAAATTATGAGTATCCAATGCTATCAAGAGTTGATTATGGTCTTGTATTGTTAATTAATGTCTAATTAATAATTTAGATAACATTTAAGGCCTAAAGAAAGACCTGCAATAGACAGATTTAGCTCTTTCATAATGTATGTTTAAATTAAAACACAACCCTGATGGAATTGCATTAATATTTTTGAACTGTTAAGACATCTTTAATATTTTGAGGAAATGTTAAAGAGGGAAACAATAATAATAATATCACGGTATTTACATGTTGAAAAAATTCTTCTAACTGTTTCTTATCTCTGGGATAACCTTCTACAATAAAAACTTTGGCATCTTTATTTTCATTCATAGCATCCTTCAACAGATCTATTGCCATTTCCTGAAGAAAAAATAAATAATCTACTTTAATTTATATTTGTAACATTGAACAATTTAAATAGCAAGAAGAACGGAAGATAAAAACAAACCAGGTTTACACAAATTCACATACTGTTTTATTCGGAAAATTTAATAGCCAGAAAAGAAAAATCTGCCGAAAAATAATTGTCAGACTTATTTCAGTTGTGGAACAGAGATTACAGAGTGTGCACAACTAAGAACACTTAAAATTTCAGGAGTTTTCCAGGATTTATTTACCAGATTCCAGGAATCCCTGTATAGAAATCTACATCATAATGTATTTTTTTACGATTGAAGAACATTATTTGACTGACTCGAAGAAATAAAGGATATCATCAAAATTCTGTAATTCAGGAGTTCAACCGATCTCTTGCTTCGTTTTCCTCAAGAATTCTGAAATGTTTAATTTGGCTCCCTTTGTGTGACTGCTCACAGCACTCTTGCCCATATATATTCCCAATATTGTAACTCTTCTGGCATACCGTACTCTTTGCCTGGTGAGCTGATTCTCGTGCCAACCAGTCATGGTAGTCTGGGTGGCCAAGCTGTATTGAAATAACCAACTTTCAAAACTTTTACTTTGTTCTCAACCGAGATCAGTAATTTCCGTAATACATAAACTATGAATATTTTAAAATCGGAACAGCTGATTGGTAAGCGCAATGACTTAGATATATTCTGATTGGTTAAAATTTTACTTTAGATTTACTATGGCTTTTATGAATAAAATACCAAAGACGAGTCCATTTACAGCGACGATCTCGGGAACTTTTGAAGAAACATTCGATGACTATATTCAGTTTTCTACTTCAAAATATATAGCGAAACCACAAATGTTAATTTTCCAGGAGTTTCAAGGAGTAATCTTGTTTTTCCAGGATTTTCATTTTTCCAATATTTTCAAAGGAGTGTCAAGGAGTGTGCGAACCTTGGATTATGGTATGCATTAAATCTACGGTAAATTAACATATTTTAAAAGAGATAACTATAGTATATTCCTTTAGAACCTGGCACATGTAAATATTGACTACAGGTACCCTTGTTACCTTGAAAAAAAGTTATATTTTTTTACATTGATTTTCAAATCACCCAAAACTACTGCTCCTTAGAGACACAGAATAATGGTCTTTAAATAGTTTGCAGCAATTTATGTGATTCCAGTGGTTAGAGGCAGTAGAGGGAACATTTGTTTCTAGGAGATTTGGGGTAGTCCAGGTGCCAAGGGTTTGATATATTAATGCAAATCCAATACTTAACACATTTCAACATAAGTTTATCAATGAAAATAATATACTTACTCTAGGAGCCATTTCACCTTTCTGTAACAGTGTGCTGACCATATCCCATTTAGCATCTGCGGTACCGTGTTTAGTAATCTGTGTACGGAGAATATCACCCATAGACAGGTGAACAAAATCTGGATATCTTTCTAGTAGTTTCTTGCACTGTGTGCCCTTCCCACTTCCAGGACCGCCTGAAAGAAAAAGTGTCCAATTTTGAATTCTTTTAGACCTCAGAAGAAGGCAAACTACCATTAAATTTCACCATCTCGGTACTCATAAATTGTAGTTCGTCTATTTATAGCAATTCTATCTGTCTCTTTTCTCCCCTTTTGCATTTCCTTTTTTGTTAATTTTTTGGTCTAGAATGGACGAAGAAGGTTTGAATTAACTTTTTCTGCCAGGTTTTGTTAAATATTCATGGTTTTGAGGCAGAAAGATAACAGAGTTATCAGGTTGGTTACGGTGAAATGTACGGGAAATAGTTGCATGTTTTTAGCATGCTTCTTCAAGTTTGTGTATCTCAAAATTTTGGTGGTCAACCTCATACAAATTTTAGTGCAAAGTCATGACCATTTGTTCCTCTGTCTGTAGTGGGAAGCATTCAGCCCAACGAAAACTTGGGGTTAAGTTGGAGGTGGGCAAAGAGGCCAGAATTAACATTGAAGTCAATGGGGAAATTAATGATGGTCTGCTCTCCAGAAAGAGAACGAAAATGTCTTGAATTACCTCCCTTGACACATCGAGGGAGATAATTCACAAAGGGGTTACAAAATTGTTCATTAATTGATATTAACTCCAATGTTCCAATGTTACAGATTAAACATAGCAGCTATGAAGAATATGGAAGACTATTATGGGACTTCTAACTCTTAAGTTATCCTGCAAGTACTATTTTCTTCCGTATAATAAAATAAACTTACCAGCTATGAAGACTATGGGCGCTTGTGGTAGGCCTTCTTTACGACCAGTGTCTTTAACTGTGAGCTCAATAACATTTTGTGCCTGCGATTGAATCATCTTATCTAACTCTTCTTTATTTGGTTCATCACTACCAATGGGTTTTGTTTTAAATGGTGCCTGATGTTTTGGTTTTGGTTCTGTAATATTTAATAATGAAAGCAAAAGATTAAAAAAAAACCCAGGATTTCAAAAATTATAAATTGAGCTCATAAAGTCTATAGAGAATTTCAAAAATATACATCTGCAGAACTTAATGGAATTGGGCTTTAATATATTGATTACAATTATCTAGCAATTGAATTCAAGTCTAAAAAGTATAATTTGTTTTCAATTTCAAAACACTGACCATAGGTTCATAACTTATAGCTTTTGGGTTTTGATTGGCAAAATAAATTTGAATAATGAAAAAATTCAAATACATGTACACACTCAAAAACCCTTGAAAAGTTGACAGTAATTCAAAATAATTTAATGAATGAATTAATTATGGCTGAATGAACGGATGGTTGGTTGGTTGACTGACATTATCAATAAAAAAGTCAATATATAAAATATTAAAGGAGGTAAATCGCTAATATTTGGGATCTAGAAATTGACACAAATGGGTCTCAGCACATATAATAATGTAATACGAATGTATATAAACTGATTTACATTCAATCATTTCCATTTTTACTCGAATTTCAAATCAGTTTATGTTCGGTGAAATACGCCAGAAGTTTCAATTGAATGGCAGTCTCTAGCGTCTGGTTATTCCAGTCTACACCGATAGTATTATTGTGCATGCTTTCCAGATAAGAGTATGGCGTCACCATTTGACAGGACTTGTGCAATAGGTCTAGCCGTGTTCTTCAAGTCCCTTGTTACAAATGGCACTGAAACGCATTATGGTACACAATTTGTGTACCAATGGTAAAATATATAATTTGTCTTAAATATTGGATATCAGAAGCCCATGTTGATTTAAATTGACAAATAATTTGTGTTTTCAATGTCGAAGACTTTGGATGATATTGAGAGACTTAGATACTTTAAATCAACCAATTACAGATAATACATGGATTAAAACAATCAACAATAAATGATGCATAAATCAAATTATAATATACATCAATCAATAAATGATTGATATTGATATCAGATCAATCAATAATTAATGAAATAAATCAATCAAAAGTTATTCTATTGGTTATACACGATATTGTCAACCAAATATAAATTTTTTCTTCATAAAAGCGTAAATCTACTGAGCTATTGTAAATATATCATGAACCTACCCGGTCTCGGACTCCTTTCTATTGGCATAGGTGGAGCTGTCGCTTAAAATATATTTAAAAAAGTTTTATTCGCGTAAACTGTTCAATTAATTTATCTCGAAGTGATTAAGACATTTTTATGAAGAAAATAGATCTATTTACTCAGTACTTCACAAATATAAAAGTAAGCATTCATCACAATCCAATATATTAAGACTGACCTTTGGGTTAGGGTTTTTTGTTGGGGGGGGGGGGGGATTTTATATGATTTTTTATAAGACAAAAATGAACAGAAAACATGCGTGTTAGTCATTTAAGTCAAGGTGCAATGACCTACACTTACCACATTAGCCCATGTTAACTGCAATACACTTGAAATAGGTATAATGGAAATGGAATGGTGTTTAACGTCTTACTGTTCTGCTCCTACTGGGCTAATGAAGACGGGAATATGCCATACATTGAGTAGGTCAGTACATGGATTTTCGATTATAAGGCAGGACCAATAAGGATATTTTAAATTTATTATTCAAAATGATATACATCTATTTTTCGGGTGAGAGTGACAAGAACTCAGGGAAAATCAATAATTTTTGGGGTAAAGCCTAACTGACTGGAGGTACTGATTTACAGTAAGTGCTATCATCTGTGTGATTAGTGAGATATTCATGTCTGTTTACTTCTTTACAACAACAGTCAAAGTATCAGACAAAATGATGGATGGGGGGAGGGAAATGGAGGGGAGGGGGGGTTGATGAATGGTCTAGCGCATGTGCTTTGGATAGAGAGAGAGAGAGAAATGGGGTCTAACGTCCACAAGACACAAACAAGGTCATATTGTTAAATTTTATTTCATTAATTTACATGTGCAAAGGGGTCTTTAGCAGTGGGAGGAAACCAGAGGACCCGAAGAAAACCTATGGAGGTTGGACAGGCGACACTACTTCTTGTCATGTACAACCGGGGAATCGAAACCACGCCAGTTGACTCAATGATAGACCTTATGTTACAATGAGCATGTGCTAACCATTCGGCCATCCAACCCGGCACCTCCACCCCATGTGCTTTCGATCATAAGGTCTGTCACTGAGTCAAGTGGAATACTTTGATCCAAACTTATACACGACTTGAAGTAGCATCACCTGCCTCACCTCAAGATTTTTCTCTGGGTCCTTCCACTGCTACAGAACCCAAACGAATTATTGAAGTAAAATTGTAACCATATGTTAGTCCCAAAATGAGCTAGTTTGTGTTAACTTTAAACTGCATCTGTCCCTATCAAACAAAAGTCATCAAACCATGATGTTATGAAGATGGAGCCACGGTGGCTAGTTGGTTAAGACGCTGGCTCGCTAGCCTGGAGGTCGGGTGTTCGATCCCTGCATTGGCCGAGAAAGTTCATCGGGATTTTCCGACGTGGTTTCCCCTTGTCAGTGGTGGAGAACGGAGGGCCTGACAAGGACAGCTGTCTAGTCCTTCGGGTGAGACGAAAAACCGAGGTCCCGTGTATATATTGGAATGCACGTAAAAGATCCCCTGGCAGTTGGAATTCGATTTAAGAGTAGACGATAGTGCCACTTCCCAGACAAAATTTCCCTCATAGCACACTGTATGGCGTATGCCCGTGTTCATTAGCCCAGTATAGGAGAAGAACAGTAGGACGTTAAACCCCATTTCATTTCATTTCTTGTTATGAAGATGTCTTTTCACATCAACATTGAATATGTTAAAATTAGTATAAACACAGGAAATATGTAGGCTTACAATCAATTTGATTAAAATACAGATCTATATTTCGTTTCGTTTTTTTTTTATACTTTCCATGACCTACACTAACTGAAGATCGCGACAGGGGTCGTACAGGTGGCTTTTGACCATATAACGTCAGACATTGATTAATCAATCAGCGTTTCCCTACAGTTTTGTGCTTCATATGCCAAAAACTTGCCGTAAGAGACAGTTTCATTGGCTAATCCCTCACTTCAACCAGAACGCCAGTAATATAACAACTCTTCCAGATCATCGTGTTGTGAAGACAAGTAAAACGAAATTTTGAACTATAAAAAACGAAACGAAATACGATCTATGTTTTAATCAGATTGACTACAATTTTATACAAAGTGCAATGATAAAATTATTTAAAGATAAAAAATCTACCTATTTTTCTTGTTACAACAACTGGAAGATTTCCTTGACCATAAAAATATACATCAAATGTTCTTGCTAGATCGTAAGCTATTTCTTCTGTATCACGATCACCATCAACCTTTCAAAAAAAAAAGAAATAAATAAATAAAAAAAAAAAAAGGTTTTAATTGAGTCATCTTTTAAAAAGTATAAATTAAGGTTTCAATTTAGTCATTTCATAGAAAGTTTAAATTAAATGAAGCCTGTGTCGTTTCAGACTCGGACACTCGGAGCTGAATTACATGTATTGTTAAGTTAACACATCTATTTACATGATTTTGGATATAACTTGAGACAGTTCAGCAAGATTTTCCAGTCTGGTTTTCCTGACTGTTGCAGAATGGAAGGTCTGGCAATGAACAGTTGTTCGAATGGGACAAAAAAACAAAGATTCCATTAATACTACTGAATTAATAGTAGCCATCATAATATTCGTGAAATTTGTACACCAGATTAGAGACCCATTAGTCAAAATCATTCATGGGGTCATTCCATGTCAAGTGGACCAAATTTTGGAAAGTTGGGAACACGACCCTCTTCAAAAATATATACTATTCAAAAAAAGTAGGGGATATTTGATTTTTAAGTGTTATTAAAGTCACCTAATGAAACTGACGAAGAAACAAATGACAAAATGAAATGAAGTTCACATTCATCGATTTATTCCAAATGATCGTTAGACTAAGTAAGGCACAGACTGACCATTATAAGGGTAAAATGATAACCGGGGTCAAACAGCAATGTTACCACAGCATCACAACCAAGTCAGTAACGGGTAAATCCTCCTCTGTTTGCCAAACAACCATTGATCCGACGTGGCATACTCCTAATGAGACGTCTAAGGTCATTTTGGTCCAGATTGTCCCATTCCTGTTGCACCACATCAGCAAGTTCTTGGACATTGGCAGGACGTTGTTGACGTTGACGTAACCTCTGTCCAAGCATGTCCCAGACATGCTCGATGGGGGAGAGGTCGGGACTCAGTGCTGGCCAAGGTAATGTGGTGATGTTCTGTTGTTGGAGGTAACCTGTAACGATCCTGGCCCTGTGACATCTTGCGTTGTCATCCTGGAAGATGAAACGGCGGCCATGACGTCGTGCGAACGGCACAACATGGACTGCCAAGATGTTGTCCCGGTAGTACTGGCCTGTAACACGCCCTGCAACAACATGTAAAGCCGTTCTTCCAGCAACAGTGATGCCTCCCCACACCATAACAGAACCACCCCCAAATCGATCATGTCTGATGACGTTAACGTCTTGGAAGCGCTCGTTTCGACGACGCCACACCCTCCTAGGTCTGTCCAAAAAATCAACAGTGAACCTTGACTCATCTGAAAACATCACATTGCTCCAGCGTCGATTATCCCAGTGTTGACGATCCCTACACCAACGACGTCTTGCCTGAATGTGATGATCTCTCAAACAAGGGTTCCGAATCGTCTGGCCACTCACTCTCACACCAGTGTCTGTTTGAAGACGAGCGCTGATCTGATTTGCTGTGATGACACGATTTCTCAAGGCCAAGGTACGGATAAATCGATCCTGGGCTTGAGTTGTCGCCCTTGGTCGACCTGAGCGTGGTCTGTCCTGTACAGATTGTGTATCACGGTATCTGGACCATAGCCTGCTTATGACAGACTGAGAAACATTCATCGTCCGCGCCACAACTGCCTGTGTTGTGCCGATCTGTAGCATGCCAAGGGCACGTAACCTTTCATTTTGGGTAAGCCGACGCATATCAAAATTTGTTTTCTGGTCACTAAAACAATTAAACTGATGTTTCCACCCTGGAATTCAATGCCACAATGACTGTAACATTCAAAGTCAGAGTCGTGCAAATCTTGGGTTGGACCCCCATGATGATCCCAAGCATCACCTGCATTCCATGCGGTAGCTATTGGTGCGTTTGGGCGTCACATGTAACTGGAAATGTTTCTTCTGTTAGGTTCTATAGTGACTTTTTTCGTAGTCATTTGCATATTTTAGTATTATGCCCCCAAAATCAAATATCCCCTACTTTTTTTGAATAGTGTATGTTATAGTATATGGCCTTAAGCTAAAATTTCGGATTTGTTAGTTTAAGGCCATATACTATAACATATATTTTTTTATAATTTTTGGGTAGGGGCTCATGTTCCCGCAATTGGTCCAGTTGATATGGAATAATCTATTAGTTTAATATACAAATTTGTGGGACCTGGGGATATACCATCTTGTGATGACGCTTGGTGAAAATCAACAGAGTTGGGGCAGATAATGGATTTTTATAAAGTTGGGGCAGATAATGAATTTTTATAGAGTTGGGGCAGATAATGGATTTTTATAGAACCATTCTTACCACAACAACTTTCTCTTGATCATCGTAATGTTTAATAACTGGAAGTGTATTTTGTTTAAAGAACGTAATTCGTCGGTGAACGGCATCAATATTATCATCCAATCGTCCAGTATGTGCACCTCTCTGTAGCAGTCGCATCTTCAAATAATGTTCCTCGCAGTCTAGAACAATAACTAAATCCACTCGGTTAATCTACAAATAAAACACACAAACATTTCAAATATGACACAAGCAATTTTATAAAACAATTCACTGTATGGGGAGCATAATAATCAAAACATTCTTAAAGAACCTATATCGCCAATATTTGGGACCTAGAAATGGACACAAATGGAGAGAGAGAGACATGGGGTTTAACGTCCACTCGACACAAACTAGGTCATTTCGGGACTAACATACGGTTTATTTTTTTATTTCAATAATTTGCTTGCGCGTAGGGGTCTTTAGCAGTGGGAGGAAACCGAAGGACCCTGAGAAAACCCACGAGGTTGGACAGGCGACCCTACTCCTTGTCACGTACAACCGGGGAATCAAAACCCCGCCGGTTGACTCAATGAGAGACCGTATGATACAGCGCGTGCATGCTAACCATTCGGCCATCCAACCCCCCGGACACAAATGTAAGTGAAATGAAATGGTGTTTAACATCCTACTGTTCTGCTCCAACTGGGCTAATGAAGACGGGCATATGCCATGCAGTGTGCTATAAAGGAAATTTTAATCAGGCAGCGGCACTATGGCCTACTCTTATATCAAATTCCAACTGCCAAGGGATCTTTTACGTGCATGTCAATGTGTACACATCTGAATGACTAGACAGCTGTCCTTGTCAGACCCTCTGTCCTGCACCACTGACAAGGGGAAACCATGTTGGAAAATCGCGATGAACTTTCGTGGCCAATGCAGGAGCCATAGTCTTACCCACTTAGCCACCGTGGCTCCTTTTGACCTCAGAATGTTGAATGCTACAGAATCTACACCAAAAAGTGCTATTCAAAGATGGGTCACGGATAAAATACATAAAATTTAATAAAATCGAAAATACATATTTTCGGAAATAAAAAATGGAACTGACATTCCTTCAGATGTAATTTACTTACATGTTTATCTAGTTCTGCTACCTGCCTCATGTCTCTAGGATAACCTTCAACAATAAAACCAGCTGCGTTATCATGTCTCTTTAAATTCTCTAACAGTAATTCTACCGTCACATCCTATAACAAAAGGGATGATATTTTTAACTTCCTTAGGAAAATATAGATCTTGCAGGTACATATATATCGTTAAGGCATTTAGATTCATTAAGAAAAAACTGGTTCTAAAAATAGCAAAATGGTTATTTGTTATCAAGAGAGAGAAGAGAGAGAAATGGAGTTTAACATCCACTCCAAACAAACTAGGTCATATCGGGACTAACATATGGTTTAATTTTCTTTCAATAATTCGCTTGCTTGTAGGGGTCTTTAGCAGTGGGAGGAAACCAGATGACCTGGAGAAAACCAACAAAGTTGAACAGGCGACTCTACTTCTTGTCACGTAAAACCGGGGAATCGAAACCACCCGAGTAAAAATTTGTTATCAAAAATATATACAAGGAACATATAACCTATGTTGAAATCATAAACATATATTTGAACAGTTTCAAAGTTATTTGACTTATTGATTGATAAGATAAATTGCTTTACAAAATGAAAGGATTACGTAAGAGCTTCTAATGTTTATTACTGGGAAAGATTTTGACTCAGATTCTCAAGTCTGACTCAAGCAATTTTACAGTTATAAAATAATGATGGGACAGTTATATTATATATGTAAACATCAATATCATAACGGGGGGTGGATGGCCGAATGGTTAGCGCGTGCGCGTTGTATCACTAGGTCTGTCATTGAGTCAACTGGCGTGAGTTTCGATTCCCTGGTTGTACATGACAAGGAGTAGGGTCACCTGTCCTACGTCATGGTTTTTCTCCGGGTCCTCCGGTTTCCTCCCACTGCTAGAGACCCCTACGATCAACTGAATTATTGAAATAAAATTGAACCATATGTTAGTCTCGAAATGACCTAGTTTTTGTTGAGTGGATGTTAAACCCCATTTCTCTCTCGATACCATAACTCAGTTAATGTTGACTGTTCGCCCCATTAACCCGGACTGTGATCAAGAATAAATTTAACAAAATCTCCATTCACTATCAAAGAAATATAATTAATATCTCTACAGCAATAAATATGAGAAATAATTGCTGTACCAGTTTGATAACATTTATATGGGTATTTAGATTGTTGTGTTTGATTAGCAGAGAACTGGCATGGGCATTAACTCTATCAATAATTGATGAACACTAAATAATTGAAAAGACCAATATGTGGCTTGAACTTATAATACTTGAAAAACAATTACACATTACACATTAAAGGGGCATTAGGTAAGATTAGATAAAGAGCTGCCAGTTGTCGCTATAATAGTTAAAAACTAGATAATGTAATGGGAATATGCTGAAAATGTCAGTCAAATTGCTCCACTCTGAACAGAGATATTAGCAATTGAATTTTAGGCCTAGCCTCAATCATCATTACTAAAGTCGGTACGATTAAAAACATAATCTCGACTATCCATTTTTGGATTTAATCATCAGTGAGCGTTGAAAGGCAGATCGGATTCAAATCCAGTGAAAATATGACACTTAAGATGCATCGAGAGTTAATTAAGGTCTTTTCATAAATGTTAATAAATGTCTAATTAATATAAAGTATGTGGGGACCCTTGGGGACTAAATCGATTTAAAATGGTTCAAATATTATCAAACATGACACATCATTTATAGTTTATATAACATTTCAAGCCTAAAGAAAGACTTTCAATATACAAATTTAGCTCTCGTATAATGTATGTTTAAAATATTAGAAATAAGAATAAGATAGAACAAGTTTTTTAAAAAACTTACCTCTGGAGCCATTTCACCCTTAGAAATTAAATCATTGACCATTCCCCATTTCATTTCAGCTGTTCCTTTATCACCAATCTGATCTCGTAAAAGATCCCCCATTGATAGATGTACCCAACCGGTATAACGATCAACTAATCTTTTTACCTGTGTTAATTTACCACTTCCTGGACCACCTTATAATTTGAAATAAACAAAATAAAAGTAAAGGGAATTTCATTTAATTTGTCCTCTTTATCTAGCTTTTTTAAAAATTTAATACTGCTGCCATTTTAACAACGGTAGAAGAATATTTATTACATTCATCACAAGAAATGGGCCTTGTGGAATACTTGGTCCAAAGCCAAGGTCTATTTCAGTGACATGATTCAACGAAAATGACCATAAAGGCAATAGTTTTGGCAAAACCCAGAAGATTAGAGTAGATTACCCTCCCTTGGGAACCAATAGGGAGCAAATGTTTAACTGGCTGAAAGACAACCCTTTACCATGCTAGGTGAACATTTGAGTCACTTTATTTACAATCAGTGCAATTGGTGTACACGTAGGTCATAAAATCAGAATTTGAACCAGAGAGAGAGAGAGAGAGAGCGAGAGGGAGAGGGAGAGAGAGTTTAATATCCACTTGACACAAACTAGGTCATTTTGGGACTAACATATGGTTCAATTTTATTTCAACAATTTGCTTGTGCGTAGGGGTCTTTAGCTGTGGGAGGAAACCGGAGCACCCGGAGAAAACCCACAAGGTTAGACAGGTGACCCTACTCCTTGTCACCTACAACCAGGCAGGCGAAACCACGCCAGTTGACTCAATGACAGACCTTATGATAAAGCACACACATGCTAACCATTCAGTCATCCAACCCCTTTTAGAGGACATCTTAGCCGAATCAGAATTAAAATATAAATAATAATAGACATTTATAGAGCGCCAACATCCAGCTGATTAGCTGCTCTGATGCGTCGTAACAATATTCATAATAGCCGAGGGAGAAAAAAAAAAAAAATTAAATAATGTCCTAAGTATCTTACCTATGATTAAAACAATAGGTACATCTGGTAGCTGTAATTTCTGTGTGATAGGTGGAAGTGGTGATTGTTCATTTAATACAATAGGCTCAGCTGTATCCTCATGCTCTAACAGTTTGGCTGTAACTAAAATTTTAAAAATATATAATAAATCATGATTTTTTAATGACTAAGACCAAATGTAGATTTTGCTTTTTCTGTTCTTTTTTTCAAATCAATAATTGAAAACGAAAATGATTTTTTAACTTTTTACATTTTAATAACAACTTCTCACAGTACCAGTACTTTAATTAAAGAGGTTTTTGATTAGTAAATAAATTACGAAATCAAATGGGCTTTAATGTCCTATTGTTCTGCTCTGACTGGGATAAAGAAGCCATGCATATGCAATACAGTGTGCTATGAGAAAAATTTTACCCAGACAGCAGCACTACGGCCTACTGTCAAGGGATCTTTTACATGCACACCAATGTGTACAAGGGACCTCGGTTTTCGTCCCTTCTAAAAGACTAGACAGCTGTCAGGCCCTCCAACTCGCACCACTGAAAAGGGGAAACCACGCCGGAAAATCCCAATTAACTTTCTCAGCCAATGCAGGGATCGAACATGCGACCTCCAGTTTAGCAAGCCAGCATCTTACAGCCACTGTGGCTCCCAAATAAACTATGATTTACCCTACCTTGACCAACATGAGGATCTAATTTGATGTCTGTCTTATCGCTACGAGAAGATCTTCGACTACCTTTAGATTGTGGTCTATGTTCCCTAGATTCAGGACGTTTTTCTCTGGATCCGATTTTACCACTTGAATGAGGTCGACTACCAGGTTGACCTCTTGATGATGGTCTGTCATTTCTAGTTTTGCCATTTTCTGGAGAAATTGGAGGTAGAGGGCTTCTTTTTTTAATATCCACAAATGTATCCCAGGTTATATGTGATTTTTTATCTGCTTTCACCTTTTTTAAACATTCGATGAGATAATCAAGATGGTCGTCAGGACGATGGAACATCAATCCAGTCATTAAACTCTGAAAAAAATTCAAAGGGATTAAAAATAGGCTAAGAACCAAAAATTTAAACAAAGTTGGTTATGAGTTGGGGGTGTAGCTTAGGGGGGTGGGTAGAAATGGTACCACTACTGATGTCTCCCGCCTTACTCCAGCAAAGCTACATATTGTAGCTAGGGGGTGGGGGCCCAATTAATACCTCCATCTCAAAAGGTGCCAAATGAAGCCAAAATTTCCTTGAAAGGCATGAGTATTTTAATCAAAATAAATAGCAGGGCACTATCTAAGGTCCATCTTAGTTCATACTTCATCAGCGGTGGTACTTTTTACCGCCGACCACCGCCGACTTAATGTTTTTTACTGCCGACCGTCGTGTAATTACCGCCGACCAAATACTTTTTACCGCCGACCGCATTGTAATGACTTTCGACCGTAATATAATTACCGCCGACCAAATACTTGTTACCCCCGACCAAATGCTTAATGATTCCTTGTTACCGCCGACTATTTTACGGTTGTTTTTTTTTTTATAAAAAAGAATACAACAAGAATGTTATTTTTTATTTGAGGTGTAATCACGTACAACTGTCGAAAAACATTCATATATATTTCAAAGAATATGGAAGGACAAAACTACAATTTAGATATTGAAGGGCAAATATATCAAGATTGTTTCAGCTACTGGTTATAAAAAATTAACATTTTAGGCCTATCTTCTATTAGTGCGAGGGTTAGGGTTAGGGTTGTCGACCATATTTATATATAATAAAATCTATATTTTTTCATCAAACTCTGTGTATTTAACCAAATCTATTTTTTTGTCACTAATAATTTAATTAATTTTATGTAGTCGGCGGTATTAAGCATTTGGTCGGCGGTAACTAGTATTTGGTCGGCGGTAATTATATTACTATCGAAAGTCATTACAGTGTGGTCGGCGGTAAAAAGTATTTGGTCGGCGGTAAAAGTATTGGTCAGCGGTAGTCGGCGGTAAAAAGTACCACCCCTTCTTCATACCCCTCTCAGCCACTGTTTCCAATTAATTGATAGGCCTACTTTTTTACTTTGACATATCATTTGTCACATCAACTTCAACTAATTTCCACACCTATAGCTATAGATTTTAACAGTCACGGGACTGTAAATGCATTTGATATCGAGCTGGCTTGACCTATTATTTGTTTGGCTAAATAATTTACGGTTATCGGACTTCGATCGCTACAGGCTATCTTTTTTTGCGGGCTAATCTTCTTTCTTACCTCAAACAATCTTGGTACCTCTCTTTTGGCCAGATAGGATTTTGCATCTTCCGATGACATTTTTCCGTTTTCACAACGGACGTATTTTACTTTTCTGGATGAAATTTTGACGACTAAAAATACACTTTCGGGACCTTTTTCTCGAATTTCTCATTTGATTTCCTTTCGTTTCTAAGGAAAACAAAATATTAGTGTCGGTGGTGTTGGCGGAAGGATATTAACACAATAAAGTTCTTTTGTCATGAACATAATTGCGGAAATCAAAAACACTAAATAAAATAATAAATAGTAGGTTTTGTCTAAAATAAAACTCGGCATAATATATAAAGTTATAACATAGTTCTAATAATTAATGTTGTTTTATTTACATTCAGTTTACTTCCGCTGTTACGGTGTATGAATTCGGGCACTTCCTTTCCAAGATGTCTGCGCCCATGATTTATCAGAAAATAACAAAAATGATAGTTATTTTACTATTTATCCTTTGTGCTCCTTGGTTAGTCTTATCGAATACACAAGAGGTAATGATATACGTTTAATGTCTATTGGAATATCCACTGCCTACTTTTGAAAAGGCCCCATGCCATGTCCGCGCTCAACCAGTTCCTTTAGTCTAGAAGAAACGGATCGACTCTTATCGTTCCTATTAGGATTCCTAATCCTGTATAATATATTCGTCCCTATGGCTTAAAGTAGCTAAGTCTCTAACTCAATATCATCCAAAATCTTAAACATTGAAAACACGATTTATTTGTCAAATTAAATCAACAGTGATGTTGTGATCTTACCGGAATAAGAGATGGGCTTTTGATATCCAATATTTTAAGACAAAATAAACATTTTACCATTGGTACACGAATCGTGTACCATAATGCGCTTCAGCCCCAGTTGTAAAAAAAGACTCGAGGGACGAGGCTAGACACATTACACCAAATCGAACGGCGTATGTAGACTGGAATAACCAGACGCTAGAAATTTGCACTCGATTGAGACTGCTGGCTTATTTCGCCGAACATAACTGATTTGAAATTGGAGTAAAAACGGAAACCATTGAATGTAAATCAGTTTATATACATTCATATTACATTATTATATGCGTTGCGATCCACTTTTGTCAATTTCTAGGTCCCAAATGTTAGCGATTTAGCTCCTTTAAGAAAATACCGCTCTCTCACACCTCTGTTCTAACTAAGGCTATTTTTGAATCCTTACCTTCTATTTTTGACCGTGATTTTTTTTTTCTTCCACCATATGTAAACTTTCTCGCCACATCTGACACAAATTTATAATAATTCATTACAGTACTTTATTCAAGTAGAATTTTGCTATTAAAAAAAAAACATATGCAAGGTGGGGTGGGGTAGAGCGGTATTTTCATATTGAAGTTTAAATGGAACAGTCGGAGGACAGTGACCGATTCTAAAGGAAATAGGGCCCAACAATTTTTTTACTTGCACGTTTAAACCAGAACCTTGACTTGCACACGCCGTACCCAGTATTTCCAATCGGCCTAGTCTAAATAAATTAAAGTTGCAATTTCATATTTTTAAGTTATATTTTTAAAATTGATTAAAATAGGGCCTTAAAATAGATGGTATCTATAAACAGCCCTACTTTGTTAAAGAATAATCCTATAATTCACTATTGCCAGTTGAGAAATTGGCAAAAATATCATTTTCAACTTTAAATTCAAACGTTTGAAGATACATGTAGCTATTCCATGGGGGGGGAATAGAAAAAACAAGGGAGGTAATTGTGTTATTATTTCCGGGGTCAAAGGATTTTTAAGTGGGAGAATAATACCCATGATCGTATAATGATTTTTAAGTGTGGGAAATAATGCCTATAATCGTATAATAGTGAGTTGACAACCTATTGGGCAAAAGACATAGAAATAATTAGATTTTGATTTTCTTAGAAAATATGAAATTATCGCTTTAACCAATCTGTGATATGCAATTATGTATCAGCATTAATTCAAAGCGTTGATTACCAAATTATTTTCTTTTCCAAAATTCTAAGCTCAGATGTCAGATGAGAGACATGGAATGAAACTGACAGAGTCCAGTGGGTTGAAGAGAATGTGTAGGATTATGGTGTTTTATTCTGGCCATTTTGAACGTGGAAAAATTATATAATAATTGTTTTTTTAGATTGACTTCTCCAATGGAGACTTCATTACTATATACAGTTTTTAATACTGGGCAAACATGTGATAACATTTGTTCCAAATTCTTTCGAATCCCAGGTTGGACGTGGCAAGGAGTAGGTTGACTAGGTCACCTGTCCAACCTTGTGGGTGTTCTCCGGGGACTCTGTTTTTCTCCCACTGCTAAAAGACTCCTACGTGCAAGCGAATTATTGAAATAAAATTGAACCATGTGTCTGTTAGTTCCGACATGACCTGTTTGTGTCGAGTGGACTTTAATGAATATGTAAGTTAAATTATATCTAATCTTGTTATGACCTGTTCTTAATCCAGAATACATGTACATGTATTTGACACTCTCAAATATCTGATGTTAACCAGGGGATGGACATGTAGGAATTGGATAAAATCAGCAGATTGAATCCTGTGCTTGAGACATAGCGAAATGAAATATAGATCTGTAGTTTAATCAGATTAATAATCATCAAATTTCTGCTCAAGCTATGTAGAGATAAGCAATTTGATTGGTTGAGTCTTTTGAATACCGGTACAATAACTCATCCTCGGTATCCCCAGGGGACATTAGTCTCACGGGTAGCTTGCTTTATAGTCAAATCACTTTCATTGTACTGACATGTAATCTAAAGAAGCTAAATCACCTGGTGTTGTTATAGATTTTGTCATTAGAACAGTATGATTGTGTTGTATTTATTTTGATCTATATGTGTATTATTTGTGTTTGTAGGAAGAGATTGGTGAATTTTTTAAAAGTGGTCATACTAATAATTGGGCTGTGTTAGTAGATACATCAAGGTTTTGGTTCAACTATAGACATGTAGCCAATGTATTATCTATATATAGAAGTGTTAAAAGACTGGGCATACCTGACAGGTAGGGGCTTAATTTACTGTTTACTGAAAATAATGAGCAGTTCATTCGTTTGTTCCTGGAGTTTTACGTCCACTTCCACTAAGGGTGATATCGTAGACAAGTGTTTCCTAACAAACTTACTAGAGGAAGCCATAGGAAATAGGCTTGATCCAGTTTGATTTGGGTAAGACACAGTGTCTTTGCACGGAAGCACGCAAGGTATATTTCATCCAAAGGAAAGACTATGGGTATAAGAAAGGAAATTATACTAAGATGGATCAAATACAGGGTGGGCCCGATCCATTCTGATTGTACATTACTTTTTTTTAAAGGAGTTCGTCTAATCTACAGGTTACTGCTGTTGCATCTCACTATACTTTTTTAAATGTGAATTCATTAATTGGATACCAACACTGTAACCCGGGTATCATTTCATCTTGTGTATCTAGCAGCACTTATTTCTTTCACATTCATTTAATATCAAATCTTTGTTTAAAAAATTTGCAATAATTGTTTAAAATTGCCAAAAATCATCTTATTTGTACTTGTGTCCAGTTTAAAGCTGCCTGATAAATTTTTATAATGAGTGTCCAATTTACAAGTTTTTAATTTCCTGACCACTGTTCAAATATTTATCATTATACATCAATAATTGTAAATAGGACACTCATTATCAAACTTTGGGTGATATTAAACGAATTTTTACAGATTTTTAAACAAGGATTTGTTATTAAATGAATGTGAAAGAAATTAGTGCTAAACACACAAGATTAAATGATACCCGGGTTACAGTGTAATTGTCTCCTATTTCTAAACATGGTTCAATAATTAATGACATGCTCAATCCAAGAACCCCATCTCAAAATGGTTAACATTTTTGTGACTCACCCTGTATTTAATAAAATTCTATTTTCCCCTCTTGCTGTTTGGGGGGTTGGGTGGCTGAATGGTTAGTGTGTGCGCGCTGTATCATAAAGTCTGTCATTGAGTCAATTGGCGTGGTTTTGATTCCCCGGTTGTACGTGACAAGGAGTAGGGTTGCCTGTCCAACCTCATGGGTTTTCTCCGGGTCCTCCGGTTTCCTCCCACTGCTTAAGACCCGTACGCGCAAGCGAATTATTGAAATAAAATTAAACCTAATGTTAGTCCTGAAATGACCTAGTTTGTGTCGAGTGGACGTTAAACCCCATTTCTCTCTCTCTCTCTCTCCTCTTGTTGTTTTGCAGTGATCATACTGTTTTTGTTTTTCAGCCATATTATTCTAATGGTAGCAGATGATATGGCATGTAACCCAAGAAATCCACGGCCAGGTAATTCTAAATGATTTATATTCATGTCTGATAAAATATTACTGATGAAAACCTTTCAGGTTCTTAAAATAATAAAGGGGGATGGGTGGGAGAATGGTTAGCAAATGCGCATTGTATCATGAGTCAACAGCCATAATTTACCCATTGAAAACCTTTCAGATTCTGAAAATAATTTAGGGGGGTGGATGGCTGAATGGTTAGTGCATATGCGTTGTATCATAAGGTCTGTCATTGAGTCAACTGGCGTTGTTTCGATTCCCTGATTGTACCTGACAAGGAGTAGGGTCGCCTGTCCAACCACGTGGGTTTTCTCCCAGTCCCCCGGTTTCCTCACATTGCTTAAGGCCCCTACGCGCAAGCAAATTATTGAGATAAATTGAACCATGTGTTAGCCCGAAATGACCTAGTTTGTGTCAAGTGGACATTAAACCCCATCTCTCTCTCTTTCTCTCTCTGTGAAAATAATTTGTGTTTTCACAGCCATTGTTAATAACAAAGAATAGATAGATGTAATATAGTGTGGATATTAAAAGTCGAATTCTAAGTTTATTGAGATGCCAGCTTTGTTTACATTTTGGTAGTTTTTGATCTATTAAAGAGGCATAAGTACTTTTTAAGAAGAAATGAAATGTACATAACGTATCTATCAAAAGTCCAAAGCTTTTTTCAGAATGGATTGACTGATCTGAAATTATCAGTTTGATCATGGTAATAGTTTCACATTAACACTGATCGAAGGTCCTCCCAAGTTTTAATGCCTACTAAAATGATGATATTATTATTACAGCAACTGTGTTTAACAATGCTAATCAACATATCAATGAGGGCGTATCTTGCCTGGCAACTGCTGGTATTATATTATTATTATTATTATTACAGCTACTGTGTTTAACAATGCTAATCAACATATCAATGTTTATGGTGATGATGTAGAAGTTGATTACAGAGGTTATGAGGTATGTATAGATTGTTTATACTCAGAGAGAGAAACATCCATTCAACAAAAAACAGGTCATTTCGGGACTAACATATATGGTTCAAGTTTATTTCAATAATTCGCTTGCTCGTAGGACTCTTTATATTAGCAGTGGGTGGAAACCGGAGGACCTGGAGAAAACCAGACAGGCGACCCTACGCCTTGTCATGTACAAGACCTTATAATACAAACCGCAGGCGCTAACCAGCCCCCTCATCCCCATCTTCTATAGCATCTAGGGTTTCATAAGTGTGAACGCTAACTTTCTCAGAAAACACACATGAAATTTAAAAATGCAATGCATTGGGGTTTGACGTTCTACTGTTCTGCTCCAAACTGGGCTAATGAAGACGGGCATACGCCATACAGTGTGCTATAAGGGAAATTTTGCCCATACAGCAGCACTACGACCTACTCTTATATCAAATTCCAACTGTCAAGGTATGTTTTACGTGCATGTCAATGTGTACACGGGACCTCAGTTTTTTGTCCCATCTGAATGACTAGACAGCTGTCCTTGTCAGACCCTCTGTCCTGCACCACTGACAAGGGGAAACCACGCCGAAAAATCTGGATGAACTTATTGGCCAATGCAGGGATCGAATACTCAACCTCCTGGCTAGTGAGCCAGTGTCTTACGCACTTAGCCACCGTGACCGCCACACACATGAAATTTTAAAGTGCAAACGTTATTGTCTGCAGCAGTCCAACACCGTCCAAATTTTCTTGTGACCACTGTTTTATTTTATTTTTACAGGTAACTGTAGAGAATTTTATACGAGTACTGACAGGTCGTCTTCCACCCAGTACACCACGTTCAAAACATTTATTATCAGATGAAAGAAGTAATATATTAGTCTATATGACAGGTATACACTTTAATTATTAATACAGTCATGAAGCCATTATTGTCCCCCGCTTTTCGAAGGGGCCAGGGGACTATTAAATTGGGTTTGTCCGGCTGTATGTTAGTCTGTCCGTCACACTTTTTGGGACACAATAACTCTCCTTCTAATTGAGCTGGGGGGTTGGATGGCCGAATGGCTAGCACCGCGCGCTGTATCATAAAGCCTGCCATTGAGTCAACTGGCGTGGTTTCGAATCCCTGGTTGTACGTGACAAGGATTAGGGCGGCTTGTCCAACCTCGTGGGTTTTCTCTGGTTTCCTCCCACTGCTAAAGACCCCTACGCGCAAGTAAATTATTGAAGTAAAATTAAACCATGTTAGTCCCGAAATGACCTAATCAGTGTCGAGTGAAGATTGTGGTCTAAGGGGAGATAATATGACATTAGGGACCCAATGACAGAGTTATCTCCCATTAGTATTACAAATTTATTTCATTTTATTTGGCTTTATAAAGTTATGTTATATTATATTGAAGATTTTTAAAAACACAATTTTTTTCTTTTATATACTAAATAAATAATGTATTGAATTATTGGTATTTGATTTTAACAGGTCATGGTGGTGACGGTTTTCTCAAATTTCAAGATGCTGAAGAAGTGTCTAATGTTGAATTAGCAGATGCCTTTGAGCAGATGTGGCAGAAGAGAAGGTAAATATATTAGAAAGATAAGACTACAACAAATGAAATGAAATGAAATGGGGTTTAACGTCCTACTGTTCTGCTCCTAACCTGGGCTAATGAAGACAGGCATACGCCATACAGTGTGCTATGAGGGAAATTTTGCCCGGACAGCGGCACTACGGCCTACTCTTATATCGAATTCCAACTCCCAAGGGATCTTTTACGTGCACGCCAATGTGTACACGGGACCTCGGTTTTTCGTCCCATCCGAACGACTACAACAAAGATACAATGAAACAGTTTTTAAACCATTCAAAGTTACTTGAAACAAAAGTTCAGGTCAAGCAAATCTTGGGGGGGTTGGATGGCCAAATGGTTAGCATGTGCGTGCTGTATCATACGGTCTGTCATTGAGTCAACTGGCAGGGTTTTGATTCCCCGGTTGTACGTGACAAGGAGTAGGATCGCCTGCCCAACCTTGTGGGTTTTCTCAGAGTCCTTCGGTTTCCTCCCACTGCTAAAGATCCCTACGCGCAAGAGAATTATTGAAATAAAATTTAACCATGTGTTAGTCCCGGAATGACCTAGTTTGTGTCGAGTGGATGTTAAACCCCACCTCTCTTTCTCTCTCAAGCGAATCTCTTTGTAATGAATATTTTTGCCGCAATTTTTGTTGAATTATTATATTTACAATATACTGCCATGAGGGAGCAGAACAATTGCCAGCCGTTAAACACAAGTGACAGCCATATTTTTTTTTTTTTTTCCATTTACATTCTTTTTGTTACCATAATAAATAAAAAATAAACAATCAATTTATATTATTCATGTAATCATTTATATAGATATATATGTTGTTCTGATATATTACGCAATGTTTTAAGCTCGAGACCATTAAACAACTTAAAATACAGACACTCGCACGTACTTTGCAATCAAATATTTCACATAGGTCCAAAATTTTAACTAGTATAAATAATGTACGCTTGGCACATTGCCTGTACGATTATTGGAAATAATGGTACGCCAACATCAAAGGATGACGTCACATATGTATTTGAATTAGATTTATTTTACTTCTTGCATTAACTATAATGACACTGAGTCACTGACACAGGTGAACATTATGGGACTAACACATGGTTCAATTTTATTTCAATAATTCACTTGCGCGTAGGGGTCTTTAGCAGTGTGAAGAATCCGAAGGACCCGGAGAAAACCCACAAGGTTGGACAGGTGACCCTACTCTTTGTCACGTACAACCGGCAAATCGAAACCATGCTAGCTGACCATGGCAGTTTTCCTAGATCCAGTTATGAATAACTTCATTGATATTTAAGAATTGTTTAACCTCTTGTATCAATTGGTAATCATTAGTATTTATTTATTCAGGTATCATGAGTTGTTTTTTATGGTAGATACGTGTCAGGCCCAGTCTATGTTTCAGAGATTCTACTCGCCCAATATATTAGCAGTAGCTAGCAGCCATGTTGGAGAAGATTCACTATCGGTATGTAAATAATTCAACTATGCACATATAGCACTGTAACCCAGATATCGTTTAATCTTGTGTATCTAGCACTAATTTCTTTCACATTCGTTTAATATCAAATCTTTGTTTAAAAAATTTGTAAAAACTGTTTGAAATCACCATAAATCGTTTAATTTGTGCTTCTGTCCAGTTTAAAGCTGACCATTCAATTTTGATAATGAGTGTCCAATTTACAAGTGTTTAATTTCTCAATCATTGTTAAAAAATAAACAACCCAATTGATTAATGATGTATAATGATTAATATTTGAACAGTGATCAGGAAATTAAATACTTGTAAATTGGACACTCATTATCAAAATTAATGTACACATGTACAAATTAAACGATTTATGGTGATTTTAAACAGTTTTTACAAATTTTTAAACAAATATTTGATATTAAACGAATGTGAAAGAAATTAGTGCTAGATACACAAGATTAAACGATACCTGGGTTACAGTGTAGAGAGAGAGAGAAATGGGGCTTAACGTCCACTCGACACAAATTAGGTCATTTCGGGACTAACACATGGTTCAATTTTTATTTCAATAATTCGTTGAGTGTAAGAGTCTTTAGCAGTGGGAACCGGAGGACCCGGAGAAAACCCACGAGGTTGGACAGGCGACCCTACTCCTTGTCACGTACAACCGGGGAAGCAAAACCACGCCATTTGACTCGATAACAGACCTTATGGTACAGCACGCACGTGCTAACCATTCGGCCATCCAACCCCCTTATGCACATATAACATGTAATTGTCTGCGATATCACCTCGGTGGATGCCAGGGCTGCCGACAACCAGTATCGCAGCGCAATTTGCGATACATATTTTGTCCGTTGCTAATCAAAAATTAAAATCTAACGTTTTTGATTCGCAGTAACTGCGAATCATTAATATGCCTGTCATTTTGGATATTGACACAAAGATTTATCCACATTTCTCAACACTTTCAACGTGTATAAAATATCAAATAAATTTTATAAACAAAACGGAATTCTCCGTGTGACATTTTCTTCTCAAACTACCCAGACTCAATTCATGATACTATATAATACAGGGACATAACTCTATGAATCGAGACTATTAAACCGGAAATAGGGAATCAAGTAGTACCACTCACGTTGCGAGACATGTCAATTTCGAGTAATTATATCAGTATTCAATTTGAAAAAAAATAAATTCAGTGTATCCTCCACGTATTGTAAATAAAATATAAAAAATAAATACGTGTAAACGTATTGTAAAGTGAGAAATCAAAGTAAGAATTCCCGTAAATTATTATTGTTTATATCGCGTGCGTCTAGTTAATCGAGATTATTCCTAAAATACCGCGTGCTTCCGATTGAACAAAAATAATAACACACGATAAAAAGCAGACGAAATTGTTTTCTAACGAAGAAATAAGAAGCCACTGCCAAGAATTGGCTTCAGACATAAGGCCTAACAAAAGTCTACATTCATTCAGAAATGTTCACAGCTAGCTGTAGAAGTGCTAAAATTCTAAAAAAATCTTAAGAATGAAATCTAATCATTTGCTATCAATTAAAATTAAAATAATCTTGTTATTTAGGTGTTTTATGTTGATTTGAAACTGAAAAACTGCTAATCAATTTTTAAATTTGCTAATCAACTTTGGCAAAATTGGACTTTTTGATTAGCAGTGCTGCTAATCATCTGTGAAAAATTACCGACAGCCCTGGTGGATGCGGACATTAAATAAAGCTATTTCACACAATGTAACATTTATATTTACATGTTACAAATTGAAAACTTAAAAAAAAAAGATATTTTAAATACTGAACAGATTTAAACTCAACAAACTTCCTTGGAAAACATCTACTACTGTCTGAACAATCATAAATTTAAAACAGATTTCTTCGATTACAAACAGACTACTTAAATTTGGTTATTATAAACTTACATGTGTGTTTGAAATCAACTCCCATTAAATAAAATCCATTGTACAACTAAATATCCCAACGAATAAAAAAGTTCTCTCTTGACAAATTTGACTATTTACTTGTAATTTCGACTGAGTTGAACACAATAATGCTTTCGTCACGTGTTGGGCAAAACCAATACAGCTGTTGCGGGGGTGGTTTAATTTTGACAGATAGTTTGACAACCATGTGTTGCAATGAAAACAAACCGCGATCGTTTGAGTTTGGGCAACGAAAAATATGAACTGAATTCAATTACATAGGAGATTTATACTGAAACCATTGATTGCCAGTCTTTCAAATTTTATTCACAATGATTGGAATGTCAAATTGAATAAATTTAATGTATATTTGCCATACACTGAATACAACTTTCAAACAAATCGAGCTGACTAATTAATCCAGTCTTTAGACACTATTTACAAGACTTATTTATTTTATCATGAATAATGTTGTTACTGTTCTTACAGCATCATGTAGATCCAGCTCTTGGAGTATATGTTATTGATAGATATACATTTTACGCTCTTGAATTCCTTGAAAAAGCTAAACCAGGCAGTAAAAAGACCATGGGACAATTTGTAAGTAATAATTTCGTTTATGGTAAATCTGACTTGTGAAACCAACAATCAGTATTATGCTTGTGAAAAAGCTTTATAAACCTCTTACTTGTTTAGTGGGGGCCACGCTGGCTAAGTGAGTAACGCACTGGCTCGGTAGCCTGGAGGTTGGGTGTCCGATCCCTGCATTGGTTGAGAAGGTTCATCCAGATTTTCGGTGTGGTTCCCCCTTGTCAATGATGCAGGACGGAGGGCATGACAAGGACAGCTGTCTAGTCATTCCGATGGTATGGAAAATCAAGGTCCCATGTACACACGGCATGCACATAAAAGATGCTCTGACGGTTGGAATTCAATTTAAAAGTAGGCTGTAGTGCAGCTACCCGGGCAAAATTTCCCTCATGGCCCACTGTATGGTGTGTGCCCGTCTTCATTAGCCCAGTTCGGAGCAGAACAGTAGGCATCCTCGGTTACCAAGTGAACACATTCCGTTCTACTCCACTATACCCTGGGTTAATCTATGGGGGAGACACGTTTTCAAGTTATCCGCCCTTGATGACGGTGCTATTTTTATCGACCAATCCCATAAATTGTTATTTGAAAAGGAAGTTGGCAAAGGAAAGTTACTCTCATCGGACAATTTTAGGAGTAGACCTATTCTAAACGCGTAATTATTAACAACCAATTATATAATAAAGACCAGACGTTCATTTATTAATGTAGGGTCATTTGTTTTTAATGAGAATCGTTTGTTCGTTCCCAGAATTTTTTGTCCACACGATATCGTAGGCAAGTTAGTGTGAATCAAATTCCCAAGTATAAGTTCAATAATAATAAACATAACAGAACGACATGTTATTATTATTATTTCAGACAAAGAACGAATAGTAATAATAATAAAAAAATGTCAAACATATAGATGTTATACATATTTGGATCAACAACACATACTACAGATTTTGATAATAGAATTAAATATCAATAAATTATAAATATATACATTACGTACATAAATCAATCGGTAAATGGACATGAATATGGTTATCTACCCTAATAAAAACGAAGGCGAAACGATTGGTTTGTAAACTGTTTTCTGATTGGTTCGTACACTATAGCTACATTCTAGGCCAGGGCAGATAATTTGAAATCGTGGAAACCCTATGGATTAACCCAGGGTATAGTGGAGTAGAACGGAATGAGTACACTGGGTAACCGAGGATGAACAGTAGGACGCTAAACCCATTTCATTTCATTTCATTTCACCTTTTAACATTGGTTATTTTTTATTACAGTTAAAAGTTTGTCCTAAACATCAGTGTATATCAACAGTAGCCGTGAGAACAGATTTATTTCAACGAGATCCAAATCAAGTCTTATTAACAGATTTCTTTGGTAGTGTACGAAATGTAGAGATATTACTTAATACTTTATCACTACCTAATATAACCTTATCATCAGATACCTGCAGGTAAGTCGAGATATTACTTAATACACTATCACTACCTAATATAACCTTATCATCAGATACCTGCAGGTAAGTCGAGATATTACTTAATACTCTATCACTACCTGATATAACCTTATCATCAGATACCTGCAGGTAAGTCGAGATATTACTTAATACACTATCACTACCTAATATAACCTTATCATCAGATACCTGCAGGTAAGTCGAGATATTACTTAATACTCTATCACTACCTGATATAACGTTATCATCAGGTACCTGCAGGTAAGTCAAGATATTACTTAATACACTATCACTACCTGATATAACATTATCATCAGTTCCTGCAGGTAAGTCGAGATATTACTTAATACTCTATCACTACCTGATATAACGTTATCATCAGGTACCTGCAGGTAAGTCGAGATATTACTTAATACACTATCACTACCTGATATAACATCATCAGTTCCTGCAGGTAAGTCGAGATATTACTTAATACTCTATCACTACCTGATATAACGTTATCATCAGGTACCTGCAGGTAAGTCGAGATATTACTTAATACACTATCACTACCTGATATAACGTTATCATCAGTTCCTGCAGGTAAGTCGAGATATTACTTAATACTCTATCACTACCTGATATAACATTATCATCAGTTCCTGCAGGTAAGTCGAGATATTACTTAATACACTATCACTACCTGATATAACATTATCATCAGTTCCTGCAGGTAAATCGAGATATTACTTAATACACTATCACTACCTGATATAACGTTATCATCAGTTCCTGCAGGTAAGTCGAGATATTACTTAATACACTATCACTACCTGATATAACTTTATCTTCAGATACCTGCAGGTAAGTCGAGATATTACTTAATACACTATCACTACCTGATATAACGTTATCATCAGTTCCTGCAGGTAAGTCGAGATATTACTTAATACTCTATCACTACCTGATATAACGTTATCATCAGGTACCTGCAGGTAAGTCGAGATATTACTTAATACACTATCACTACCTGATATAACGTTATCATCAGTTCCTGCAGGTAAGTCGAGATATTACTTAATACACTATCACTACCTGATATAACGTTATCAGTTCCTGCAGGTAAGTCGAGATATTACTTAATACTCTATCACTACCTGATATAACGTCATCATCAGGTACCTGCAGGTAAGTCGAGATATTACTTAATACACTATCACTACCTGATATAACATTATCATCAGTTCTGCAGGTAAGTCGAGATATTACTTAATACTCTATCACTACCTGATATAACGTTATCATCAGGTACCTGCAGGTAAGTCGAGATATTACTTAATACACTATCACTACCTGATATAACGTTATCATCAGGTACCTGCAGGTAAGTCGAGATATTACTTAATACACTATCACTACCTGATATAACATTATCATCAGATACCTGCAGGTAAGTTTTATATAATAATAAGATAGAAATAGAGAGAGAGAGAGATGGCTTTTAAAGTCTACTTGATACAAACTAGGTCATTTCAGGACTAACACATTGTTCAATTTTATTTCAATAATTTCTTTGTGCGTAGGTCTTTAGCAGTGGGAGGAAACCGGAGGACCCAGAGAAAACCCATGAGGTTGAACAGGCAACCCTACTCCTTGTCACGTACAACCGGGGAATCGAAACCACACCAGCTGACTCAATGACAGAGCTTATGATACAGCGCGCACATGCTAACCATTCGGCCATCCATGCCCCCAGGGATTTGAGCACAGGTGTAAGAATGACAACACCTGGAATGGAGGCCGTAGAAATTTTCTTTCTGTAAATTAAGAATTAGCCAAATCTGTAAACACTCCCGTGTCTTGAAGACTACAGATGCAACATAGTTTTTGGATTGGGTAGACCTAGTATGTCAAATAGAATATGGTGTTATAACTTTCAGTAAAATATTTAATGTTCAGCAACCAAAAAATGAAATTGAGTAAAAATTGAGTAAACCTAAACATACATTATGCAAGAGGTAAATCTGCCTATTGCAGGTATTACTTCAGGCCTCAAATGTTTATAAATTATTGATTAGACACTTATTTACATAAAAAGTCCATAACCAACTCTTGAAACCATCTTTTGAATTTCATTAGTTTGAATCCGATCGATAATCAATTGATTTTGGTTATTATCGTGACAGTGCTAACAATGACAATTGAGGCTACTGTGATTTTAAAATAAGGCTTTTCTCAGTTTAGAGTGAAGCAACTTGACTGAAATTTTCAGCATATTCCTTTTACATTATCTAGTTTTTATTTAAATGTGAGAACTGCCAACTCTTTTATCAATCTGATTAAAACATAGATCCAATTTCGTTTCGTTTTTATAGTTCAAAATTTCGATTTTACTTGTCTTTACTACACTTGGATCTGGAAGCGTTGTTATTTAACTCTTGTTCTGCTTGAAATGAGGGGTTAGCCAATCAAATGGTCTGTCGAATCGAGTTTTTGACCTTTTTTGCGCGGAACTGTGGGTAGACATTAGCGGCAATAGAAATCAAAACAAAGCAAAAGTAAACAAAAAAATACATGGCGGTCGCTAATTGGTTAATCGAATGACTGACGTAATCGGGTCAAATGTAGCTTGCTTGGTACCTGACGTCATAGAACGTGAACTCCCACTATAACTTGTTAGATCTACATGTAGTGTAGGCCATCGAAAGTATAAAAAACGAAACGAAATATAGATCTGTACTTTAATTAGATTGCTCTTTTATCTAATCTTCGATAATGTATCTTTAACAAATTCTTTTTTTTTTCATTTTTCAGTAAATCAAGTTGTGGAAATGAAGAAGTATCATCTAGAAATTTAAAATATGCTGATCAGTTTCCAATGCCAGTTTAAGATTTACTTACTGTAGATTTTTTGTCATTCACAAGATTTCATAAATATTGTATTATCATTCGTTTCATCATAACATGTGTATATATAATCATATATACGCCCAGTAAAATATATCAACCACTTTTACTTTTTCATTCTGATATATATCAAATCATAAGTTACTGTCGGAACCGTGGTAAATTTTAAACTGATTTCTTTGATTATGAACAAACTACTTTGGTTATCATAAATAATCTACAGGTTGCAATTATTAACAGTTCGGCGTGATCCATCATAGGGTTGTACCTATTTATATTGGTCCATATCCAACCATCAGGAGCAGTGCCACGCCCATTTTTTGTATTTAGCGTCTATAGGCTGCAATTCTGAATGAACCCTCTTGGAACTTGGCATATTTATTCCTTATACTGTAAAGACATCAACTATGTATTTTGGTGCATGCCCCGACCTCCTGGGGTGGTGTCATACCCACTGTTTTGTTAATATTTAATCTGTAAATTTGGCAAAACACCTAGCCTTCTTTGCATCTTGTCATATTACAGTCATTGCAGCCATTTCAATCTCTTCATTTTAAAAAGTACCATATCAATCAAAGCAGGAATGTGGACGTATATTGCAGCGATAGCTATTCTCTTGTTTTTGTTTTACACATAATTTACTCATCTTGCAATTTTTCATGAAGACAAACTCACATTTCTAGTGGGTTTTTTTTTTTTTTTTTAATTTGTGACAAATTTATAAAATAGTAATAAATGTTTATTGTAAATTATTTCATTGTTGTTAAAGTATCACTTTAGTGTATTGATGAAATATCTGGGGAAATACATCTTTACAAACTCTTAGACAGTTTGGAATTAAAATAAGATTAGACTGGAATTCTGCTGTTAGTTTCTTAAAAAAAAACTTTTTTAAATATGGTATTTGTTGTAATTAAAGAGTGATTTGTACATGTCTAGTGTTAAAGTGCAATTCTGCTGATTCTTGGAGTCTAATATTTCACGTATATTTATTACCTTGTTTAATATGATTTATTTACATTGTATGTATATTTGTAAGTTTATTGAATTGAATGTATATTTTGCACATTGTCATTTATATTGTTTATAATAAAATAAAACTTGAAATGGATAGACGCTTAGATATGGGGCATGAATATAATTGTCAGATTTCATAGAATTTTATGTGATTTGTTTTCTGGAGTGACAATCTGTCTTCTTTAAAATTTTAAGACAGTAGATGAAGCCATTGTTGTCCCGCGCCTTTCGAAGAAAGCAGGGGACTATTAAAATGGGTTTGTCTGTCTGTCTATCCGTCACACTTTTTGTTACACATGAACTCTTCTTCTAAGGTCAGCAATGTGCAATGAACTTGAGGATACCCGATTGAATGTTCCGGAATGCGTTCTCTAACTACATAAGAAATTATCTCAACCAACCAGGACATTTGACAAATGAGTGGCATTTAATTACGTCACGTTTCTCCCCACACCACCTCCCTTGTCAGGACTGACAGAACTATTACAGGATGCAGTTCCGTCAATTGCGGACATTCAAGTGTAACAATCCATTATCTCCTTCATGATGTAACTTAAAGGAGCAATAACTCAATTTAAAGTAGCTAAGTCTCTAACTCAATATAATCCAAAGTCTTACACGTTGAAAACACAAATTATTTGTCAATTCAAATCAACATTGATGTTGTGATCTTAATGGGAAAAGGTAGGCTTCTGAAATCCTATATTTAAGAAAAAATAAACATTTTACCATTGGTACACGAATCGTGTACCATAGTGCATTTCAACGTCATTTGTAACAAGTGACAAGGAAGAACGAGGATAGACATATTCCACAACTCATGTCAAACGGTGACGCCATATCTCATCTGGAGAGCATGCACAATAGACTGGAATAACCAGATGCTAAAAATTGCCAGTCGGTTGAGACTCATGCCGTATTTCGCTGGACATAACCGATTTGAAATTAGAGTCAAACGGAAACAATTGAATGTAAATCAGTTTATATACAATCAGATTACATTATTATATGCGTTGCGACCCATTTGGGTCAATTTCTAGGTCCCAAATATAAGCGATTTAGCTCCTTTAAATTTGGTTAGAAGTGATTTTTGAAATAAAATTACAACATTAAACATGCATTATGCATTAAGCTAAATCTGCTTATTGCATTTAATTAGACATTTATTAGACATTCCAAACCATAATCAACTCTCGATGCCATCTTATCTGTCCGATTTTCAATGGATTTGAATCCGATCTGCTGTTCAACGTCCTTTGATGATTGTTACTCGTGGTGACAGCGCTAACAATAATAATGAAGGCTACAAAGATTTAAAAATCAAGTTTTTTCCGCTCAGAGTGAAGCAATTTGACTGAAATTTTCAGCATATTCCCTTCCCTTTTTATACGTCCACATTATGCCGTCACCCTTGTCTGTGTGTGTGGGTGGATGGATGGTCTAATGGTTAGCACGTGTGTGCTGTATCATAAGGCCTGTCATTGAGTCAACTGGCGTGGTTTCGAATCCCTGGTTGTACGTGACAAGGAGTAGGGTCGCCTACGCGCAAGAGAATTATTGAAATAAAATTAAACCATATGTTAGTCCCGAAATGACATAGTTTGTGTTGAGTGGACGTTAAACCCCATTTCTGTGTGTGTGTGTGGGGGTGTCTGTGTATACAACAAATTGTTGACCTCTAGAACACCAAATCTATAGGATCCTTCCTTCAAAGAAAACCGCCCCTTAAAACCCCCCAGATATACTCCACTTATCTAGTTGTCTATTGCGGTGTTATCGAAGTAGCTGGGCATGCGTTGCCATACTGCATATGTAATGAATATAAAGAGAACAAATGCCTATCAAGTTGTTCTCCGGTAATCTGTTTTAGCATTCACATCTTGTCAATTATTAATAGATAGAGATATCATCATATTCCGATAAACGATAAACTTCATCCGTACCTTTCTATTATTCATTGGTTTCGAATCACCGGTTGTACGTGACAAGGAATAGGGTCGCCTGTCCAATCTCATGGGTTTTCTCCGGGTCCTCCGGTTTCCTCCCACTGCTAAAGACCCCTACGCGCAAGCGAATTATAGAAATAAAATTAAAACCATATGTTAGTCCCGAAATGACCTAGTTTGTGTCGCGTGGACGTTAAACCCCATTTCTCTCTCTCTCTATTATTCATTCATTTAAAACATATTGTAGATAACTACAAAAACTCAGGTAAACGTTGTTTGTATTCAAAATCTATTTACTTTTTATATAATATCACAATAAAGTAAATATAAATTTCAAAACATTATGTTCGATCACAGTTATTGTCGACGACGTCCTTGTTCTTCCTGTCTTTGTGGTGGACCTTCATCACCTTCCCGTTTTGGTGGTGGACCTTCACTACCTTCCCGTCTTGATGGTGGACGTTCATCATTTCGTCTTGGTGGTTGACCATCCTCTTCATCATCTTCTCGTTTTGTTAGTTTTAATCAGTAAATACCCCACAGGTTGCAATAATTTAAAAACAAACAAAACTAACTTGAAAGATTATATTTTATTTAGATAAGCTACGGACATATAATGATATGATGTAATATTTACATGAATATTTGGCACATTTTCAAACATTTTGATAATAAATTGGTCTGTATTTTGTCCACCACATTATATGGAGCATACCTTTAAAGAAGAAAAAAAGAAAAATAACATTTTATTTATTCAGTTATCAATTATTGGTCTTAAAACATTTGATCAAATTACCAGTAGTATTTTGTTTTTTAAATTCTGGTCTAAAGCATTGTTACTTGAGTCAACTGGCCTGGTTTCAAATCCCTGGTTCTACGTGACAAGGAGTTGGGTCGCCTGTGACAAGGAGTAGGGTCGCCTGTCCAACCTCGTGGGTTTTCTTCGGGTCCTCTGGTTTCCTCCCACTGCTAAAGACCCCTATGCACAAGCGAATTATAGAAATAAAATTGAACCATGTGTTGGTCCCGAAATGACCTAGTTTGTGTCCAGGGGACATTACCCCCCCTCTCTCTCTCTCTCATTGTTACTTGCCATGATTACCTAAGGTTTATCTTTCTAGAAGAATTTTATAACTCTTCTCATTTCAGGACCAATATATGGTTCAATTTTATTTCATTAATTGGCTTTCAAATGGGGTCTCTTTAGCAGTGGGAGGAAACTGAAAACCCGCAAAGGTACGCAAGCGACCCCACACTTTGTCAGATACAAGCATGGCTCGAGATCGAAAAGCACACCACAACTTATGAAAATAAAATGAAATGGGGTTTCCTACTTTAATGAAGATGGGCATGAGAGAATTTTGCCCGACAGTGGCACTACAGCCTACTCTTATATCGAATTCAAACTGTCAAACGATATTTTACGTACATGCCAATGTTTACACTGGATCTTAGGTATATTGTCCCATCCAAACAATTATACATTTCTCTTGCCAGGCCATCAGAATATCCCATAAACTTTCTCAGTCAATACAGGGATCAAACATGGAACCTCCAGTTAAGTGAGCCAACGTCTTATCAAACCAACTGGGCTCCTGTCAAACCATTTGATCTAAAGTGTCTAGATTTCCCCCCCCCCACCTTTGCATTCCATTTAGTAAATATTTAGGGGATCACGTGGCTAAGAGGGTAAGATGCTGGCTTGCTAGTCTGGAGGTCGGGTGTTCGATCCCTGCATTGGCCGAGAAAGTACATCCAGATTTTCCGGCGTGGTTCCCCCTTGTCAGTGATGCAGGACGGAGGGCCTGACAAGGACAGCTGTCTAGTCCTTCGGATGAGACAAAAAAACGAGGCCCCGTGTATACAATGGAATGCACGTAAAAGATCCCTTGGCATTTGGAATTCGATATAAGAGTAGGTGATAGTGCCCCTGCACACTGTATGGTGTATGCCCGTCTTCATGAGCCAAGTTCGGAGCAGAACAGTAGGACGTTAAACCCCATTTCATTTCATTGCATTTAGTAAATATTTAAATGTCTTACCTGAGATATATATAGGTATTAATATTTTAGGCTGGTGCAGCATTCACTTTTTGTTTCAACATTTCCAATCCCTCGGCTACTTTTGATTTACAGATACCTGAAGTAAAAACATTTATTAATCTCACATTTATTAATTTCCATTAAGTATTGTTTAATGGTTGAGAGCGAGACATTAAACATACATTATGCAAGAGCTAAATCTGTCTTTTGCAGGTCTTTCTTTAGGCCTGAAATGTTATCTAAATTAATAATTAAACATTAATTAACTTATCCAGACCATAATCAACTCTAGATGGTATCGCTAGCCTGTGATCTTAAGTGGATTGTGATCCGATTTACTGCATAACTTTCCTTCTCGATTAAACGATTAAATGGATAATCAAGACTATGCTGTTTAACGTACTGACTTTAGTAATGATGACCGAGGCAAGCCAGAAATTTTATTCGCTTAGTTCTCGGTTCATAGTGGATCAATTTGAATGAAATTTTCAGCAAATTGCCTTTACGTTATCTAGTTTTTAATTATTATAGTGAGAACTACCAACTCGTTATCGAATCTCCCATAATGTATCTTTAAGTAATATATTGTATCAACAAGAGGGACGTAGGCCCAAGTGTTTTTACAATATATTACGCAATGTCTTAAAGGGACTATCCCGATTAGAACAGAGTCTCAAAAATTAAAGTCCGAGTACGTATGTAATTTAAGCACCAAAATATATAGGAATGGTGTATTGACCTTGTCTCAAAATTTCAGCTCAAAATATTGAGTCGTTTGGACGTGAACGTCAAAACTGCTTATCCGGAAAAGGTAACCCTTTTAAGGTTTCGGGTCAATTTTTTAGTTGGGTGACCTGATAATCGATTCCCATTTCTTGAGAGGTCTATACAGTGAATGACCCATGTGCTGTACTTGACAACGGACGGTAAATTTCACCTACACATTATTTTTTATAAAAAAAGGTCTGGTTTTATCCAGACACCGTATAATACAGTTTGAGACACCGGGCTCCATTTCCAGATGAAGACTGACGGATTTAAGTTGTTTGCAAACGTATCACAAATATTGAGTTACTTGCTCGTCCTGTAGGTAGAGGGTTCTAAGGCATTTTAACACAAAATTAAGCAGTTTTATTCTCCCAAAAAATTACTGGGCTAACCCTAGCTCGAGACCATTAAACGAATTAAAATACAGACACTCCGCACGGTGCTTTTACAGTAAAATATGTCACGTTGAGTCCAATATTTCACTACTATAAATAATGTACGATTGGCAAGTTGCCGTTTGATTATTTGAAATAATGGTACGCCAACAACAAAGGGTGACGTCACATCTGTATTTTAATGTTATTTAGGATCTATAAAAACAATGGATGTATTCTGTTTCATTTCTTACAGCTCAAATTTTCTCTTATTAGTCTTCCCAACAGTAGGATCCAAGAGATTCTCTTTGATTACAAGAGATTACACTGTAATCTGGGTATCATTTAATCTTGTGTATCTAGCACTAACTTCTTTCACATTCGTTTAAAGGCTCAATACCACTCTTGTTGTAACTGAATAATATGTCCCAATCTTTATTCTGGTCAACAAATTGTACTATTTTAGAATATTTCAATTAATTTATGATACAAATTTCATCTAACACACCTTATTTAAAAATTTTGAAAAATTCAACATATGGTTTGAAACGTCTAACGTAAACCTTTTCAAATGAAACTTCCATTTAAAAATATTTTCGAACCCTCTGGACAAGTAAAATAGGATGTAATGGATAATTTACACAACAGGTAGGACACTTAAACATCTAGTACTTAGATAGAGATATTATTTATTTTCTGGAGCTTTCAAGCCAGCAAAAGTGTTATTGTCCCTTTAATATCAAATCTTTGTCTTTGTTTAAATATTTGTAAAAATTCTTTTTAAAAAAATCATCCAATTTGTGTCCAGATTAAATGATACCTGGGTTACAATATTAAACATACATTATGCAAGAGCTAAATCGGCCTGTTGCAGGTCTTTCTTTAGGCCTGAAATGTTATCTAAATTATTAATTAGACATTAGTTAACTCATCTAGACCATAATCAACTCTTGATGCCATCGCTAGCCTGTGACATTTACTGGATTTGAATACATTTTGTGATGGATGATTTAATGTCAAAATGGATAATCGTACCGACTTTAGTAATGATGATCAAGGCTAGGCCTAAAATTCAATCACAAATATCTCGGTTCAGAGTGGAGCAATTTGAATGAAATTTTCAACATATTCTCTTTACGTTATCGATTTTTTTAACTATTTCAGCGAGAACTGTCAGCTCTTTATCTAATGCCCCTTTAATGAAATCGTCTGTTTAGGTACACTGAATTATGGGAAATGCCGATAGAGCAATAGAGACCAAAAGTTAAATATACAATAGTCTATCACACAGACTGGTCATTGATATCAAGCGAAGGCCATGGAAAGTATAAAATACAAAATGGGACATAACTTTCTTTTAGAGGCTAGATAGAAATGAAATGGGGTTTAACATCCTACTATTCTGCTCCTAAACTGGGCTAATGAAGACGGGCATAAGCCATACAGTGTGCTATGAGGGAAATTTTGCCCGGGCAGCAGTGCTACGGCCTACTCTTATATCAAATTCCAACTGCCAAGGGATCTTTTCTGTGCACACCAATATGTACACGGGACCTCGGTTTTTCGTCCCACCCGATCGACAAGACAGCTGTCCTTGTCAGGCCCTCCGTTCTGCATCACTGACAAGGGGAAACCACGCTGGAAAAGAGGCTGGATAAAGCAATAAACTATAACACATACTTGTGGAAGAACAATTACTCATTTATTTAGGTGACGTTTCAAAGAGTATTGCTTGAAAACTTTGAGAGAATACTCTTCGAAACATCGCCTAAATAAATCAATAATTATTCTTCAACAAGTATGTGTTATAATTTATTGAACATAACTTTATTTGAATCAGGATTACTTACCATCATGGATATGATCATTCAAGGGAGATAAACAAGCAGATAAAATAATTCCATTCATTCGTGTACGTCTTGTCTCATCTAAGGTTGTCTGACGACTCAGAATATGTGCTTTGGCAGACGCAGGATTACAGCTGCCATCTTCCCTTTCATTCATACAAGAATAGGCAATAGCCACATGGTCGTAATCTGTATACATTATCTGCATAGTAGCTAAAAATACAAACTTTCATTTTATAATTTATTCAAGATGAAGTTTATAAATCTATTGTGATTTAATATATTTTAAATTCTGTCGAGAATGTCATTGGTTTGATTCCATTCATATATTATAGGCTATAGTCAACATGTCAACACCAGGGGCGGATCCAGGAATTTTTGCAGGGGGGGGGGGGATTTCCAGCAGGGATTCTTTCCCGCCTTCCCTTGAAATTATTGAGAAACATATGGTCTCTATCGTCATTTTTATTTCAATAATCTGCTTGCGCGTAGGGTTCTTTAGGAACCGGAGGACCCGGAGAAAACCCACAAGGTTTGATAGGCGGCCCTACTCCTTGTCACATACAACCAGGGAATCAGATTAAGCCATGAAAAATTGTATATTTTCAAGAAAGTGAAAATGATGCAGAGAGACTTTAATGTTTTAAAGAGTCCTTTCCATGTTATATTTATTTTGACTAAGTGATTCTTAAAAGTGGCATTAAACATCTATAACAATATCACTGATCTACTCATAAAAAAACAAATGTAGGTTGCCAGCATACTTACTCCATGTCCACAATCCTGTCTTGTTTAATCTTCCTAAAAATCTACCATCAGGTTTATCTGTACATCGGACTTTAAAATCACCATATAATGGTCCTTTACATTTGCCATCGGGTCTAAAATAAAATATTGGTATTAAAATATCAACTAGGTCATTTCGAGACTAACACAGGGTTCAATTATATTTCAACAATGGTTGGACAAGCGACCGTACTTCTCGTTCAGTATAAGCCATGCCATTTGACTCAATGTCAGACATTATGATCTAATGTAGAAGTGGGGAGTCAAAACCATGCCATTTGACTCAATGTCAGACATTATGATATAATGTACAAGTGGGGAGTCAAAACCATGCCATTTGACTCAATGTCAGACATTATGTACAAGTGGAGAGTCAAAACAATGCCATTTGACTCAATGAAAAAACCTTATGATCTAATGCGCACGTTTTAAATCCTTCAGCCAACCAGCCACCACCACCCAGTGATGGCACTATTAGAAATGAGTTATTTTAAAATTCATATTGTTGAGTAGTGTCTCCACTTAACTGAATTCTTAATATACATTTCCAGATATCTAGTGACTGTAAAACTATCAAATTAATAAATATTACATAGGAAACAACAAACTGACCAAATTCCATTCGTTTCATTTGACATCAAACAGTAAAAGATTAGTTTGAATAACCTGTTCTGCTCCGAACTGGGCTAATGAAGACAGGCATACACCATACAGTGTGCTAAGAGGGAAATTTTGACGGGCAGCGGCTCTATGGCCTACTTTTATATCAAATTCCAACTGCCAAGGGATCTTTCATGTGCATGCCAATGTATAAAGGAGACCTCAGTTTTTCATCCCATCCGAACGACTTGACAGATGTCCTTGTCAGGCCCTTAGTCCTGCACCACTGACAATGGGAAACCGTGTTGTAAAAATCCTGAATAACTTTCTCGGCCAATGCAGGGATCGAACACATGACCTCCTAGCACTACCAAGGGACATAGTTTTATACAATAGATCAATATATTCTGGTTTAGCAGTTTCATGTATTGCCATTTTTCTATAAAACATGTGAACATCCAGCTTGGTAAATTTTTGGTATATTCTAATCAAAGTTGGCATGTTTTGCTGAGTATTTTGGCATTTCAAATTTTTTATTGGAAACTTGTTGCAGTATAATGAAACATCTCTAACTGTCAGCCCCCCCCCCCCCTTCAAGTATTGCAGGTAAACCAGATATTAATTGATATTTACCCTTGACCACTGATAATCATTTTAATATGTTGTGTACCAACTGGGTGATAATAAAGAACCATATTTCTGAGTGGAAACAATGGTTCTGGTGGTGGACTTGCTACTTCATACCAATACCCTGCTATCTGTAATAAAAACATACATCCAATATCTATATTCGTTTTTAATACCTAGGGTACACGATTATATTTTTTTGCCCGATCGTGCCAATTTTTAAAATTGCTCGAAAAAATTGCCTGTGTGCCCGTTCACGGCGACAATGATTCTGCTCGCTGAACCATTCATCCGATAGATCGTCTGTATCTAGCATGTTTGATATTTTCAGCCAAATATTTACACCGACGATTGATTCGCCAGCACATCTGCTCCTCTTCCCGTCTCCAGCATATATTGTCGAACAAACCATTTTCATAAGCCAATCGGGGACATCATTGATATCAGATGATCTCAAAATGGCTTCCTCCACTGCCAAAGTGTGAAGTCTGACCAAAGAAGAAGAATTGGTGATTCATTGGTTAGAAAGGCCCTGTCTGTTTGATGTCACGATTCCAGAGTTTTAAAAGCAAATAAATAGCAGCTACCACAGTAAGCTTACGTTTTAGACGATTCGTCAATTTGTACATGTTACTAGCAGAGTGGCGTACGCTTAGAGACGATCACTACTTCTGCCCGCTAGTGATCCGCCGGAAGAAATCATAAGCGAATTTCAATCGCCGCGATCAAGTGAAAAAATACGCTCGTCTGCCCATAGCTTAAGTTATATTGCCTAAACAGATACTAACGACCAAAAAATGTTCCTGGCCAGACCCTCGGTTCTGAGAAGGAAACCAAGACTGAAAATCCGAAGGAACTGTCTCGACCAACACCAGGATTGGGATTGAACCAGGGACCTCCTGGATAGCGAGTCAGTACAAAGATCTTGCATGTGATCTCTTTCAGAAGCAAAAATACATTATTGTGGTCCTGGGCCAAAGGTTCCAATGAATTCTAGCAACCATTGTTAGAAATATAGTTGCACCTCTCTTAAGGCCTACTTCATGCAAGCAAATGGACATTAAAGAAACACTTTCTTCTCAACTTGCTATGTTAGAACCAGGGATCTTAATCGCCTGTTTTTGTCGGCTTTAACCGCTTGTAGTTCAATCAAAGTTATATTAGAGAGAATGAAAGCTTAAAATTTTAAAACCCAGTTCCTACCAGGACCTCATTTGACCTAATTCTGACCGGTTAGTTTCAAAATGGATTAAGAACCCTGGTTAGAACTCACGGCATTCATCCTGTGCCATCTATATAAACCTACCCTTTCTATGTCAACATTGGTTTTAGGTAGAACATCTACTGCACAGGAAGAGACGGGCATTACAGGTGGTGGAGATGGTGGTGGAGGTAAGGTTTCTGGATGGCATGCAGAATGAACTAAAACACATAAAAAACAAAAACATTTATTTTTCAACTGATCTAATTTAAATTAGTAATGATGATCGAGGCTAGCCTAAAATTCAAAAGCTAATATTTTGGTTCAGATTGGACCATTTTGACTGAAGTATTCAGCATTTTCTATTAACGTTATCTATTTTTTAACTATTATAGCGAGAACTGTCAACTCTTTTTCTATTCTCCCATGATGCCCCTTGAAAAATTCAAACTATCAAAGGTAGATAATCTCCCAGTTTGAATTCAATCCGATTCAAAGAGAGAGAGAAAGAAATGGGGTTTAACGTCCACTCGACACAAACTAGGTCATTTTGGGACTAACATATGGTTTAATTTTATTTCAATAATTCGCTTGCACGTAGGGGTCTTTAGCAGTGGGAGCAAACCTGAGGACCCAGAGAAAACCCACGAGGTTGGACAGGTAACCCTACTCCTTGTCACGTACAACCGGGGATTTGAAACCATGCCAGTTGACTCAATGACAGGCCTTATGATACAGCACGCACGTGCTAACCATTCGACCATCCACCCCCCCCCCCACCTCCCCGATTCAAAGAGGCCTATCAAAAGGAATACTGAAAGGAATTGAACCATATTTTGGACTGATATTTGTTTTAAAGATTCATCTTCACCAATATCGTAGATTGGAAGGGATTCAAATCCCTTAAAGGGAGAATAACACTCTTGCTGGCTTGACAGCTCCAGAAAAAAAAAATAGCCTTATTCTAAGTACTAGATGTGTTAGTGTCCTACCTGTTGTGTAAATTATCCATTAAATCATATTTTATTTGTCCAGAGAGTTCAAAAATATTTTTAAATCCAAGTCACATTTGAAAAGTTTAACGTCAGGCTTTTCAATCATTTAGTTGAATTTTTCCAATTTTTTAAATTAAGTGTGTTAAGATGAAATTTGTATCATCAATTAATTTGAATATTGTAAAATAGTACAATTTGTTGACCAGAATAAAGATCGGGACATATTATTCAGTTACAACAAGAGTGGTATTGAGCCTTTAAGTAATGATCAGAGACTTTAAGAATAAATCAAAAGGAATATGATAAATTACTAAAGTTGGTAAGATATAAAACAAAATTTCGATTTTCCATTTATCAATTTAATTGTTTTTTAAAATATGTATTCCAATCCGCTAAATATCGCAAGCTAGCGATGGCATCAAGAGTTGATTATGGCCTGGATAAGTTAATTAATGTCTAATTAATAATTAAGATAATAATTCAGGCCTAAAAAAAGAACTGTAATAGGCAGATTTAGCTTGGATTACGCCATGAATGTTGAGTATAGGACAAAAAAAATGCCAATGTATATCAGCAGCTTTAAATGAAAAATAAACCTGAAATTTTATTATCATGTGGTAGCTCTCTATTGCTTCTTGAAATATTATTATTATTATTATTATTATCTTTATTTCAGTAATCTAGGCCTTCGGCCCATAGTACATCTAAATACATTTGGTAAAGTATACAATATCAAATAATTAACCGTGCAATGTGTAGAGTGAACAACATAATGATAAACATGTAGTGTCCATATCGCATGCTAAATGTATAATAACTGGTCCCTTTTATAATACTGTACATCACAATATATGCTCCCGTAATATCTGGATATTAGAGACTACAGTAACCTGGCGAGCGGGTAGCGAGGCCTAACTGCAATGTCCATCTCTATATCATTTAATTATGTATGTATACGAAACATATAAACAATCAATGAATAAAACAACATTATAAAACATAAACCTATAACAAAACAACAAGATATAGGTTATAAAAATAAATAGCAGAATCACCGTATTATACATAATTCATTTGATTTATAAATTTTTACGATACAAGAAGACATTGTGAGTAAACATGGCTAAGTTTTTACATATATTCCTATTTGTCATGATGTTTATAAAAATACTCTTACTCGTTTTATAAAGTTTCTGATTTTGAATACAGAGGAAAATAAACACTTACGTGAAGATTCAACATCTATCAGATTTTTACTTTCTAAACAAACCATGTTGAGTTTTTCTTCAATATTGATGTTACTAGAGGGTTTATAGGTTGGTGATCTACTCAACAAATCAACACGTACACCTTCGATCTCACATGATCCTCCCTCATTCTCTCTCGTACACCAGTATAATATTAACTCATTCTCAGTGTAATGTAGAATTTTTAACATAGCTGGGGGGAAGAAAAAAATACACAATATTTCAGAAAATATCCATTTATATAATACAGATTAAAGCTAACCAAAGCAACGCTGAAACAATAATTTATGTACAAAATTGGAGTCAAATGTCAGTTTGATATTTAATCTTCAATCTGATTAATACACAGATCCTATTTCATTTTGTTTTTTAGTTTTATTTGTCTTTACTACACTAGGAACTTGAACAGTTGTTATATTACCCACGTTCTGCATTATGGATTATGTATGACCCCTGACACGAACTTCCACTACAACCGGACAGATATTCATGTAGTGTAGGCCATCGAAAGTATAAAAAACAAAATGAAATATAGATTTGTATTTTAACCAGATTGTTTAACAATGGAACTGGATATAGAAGTGTCTGCGACCAGTTTGACTAACTGGAACTTCTGTGCTACAAACATCAAATAGAATTGGCAATATCAAAAATTTATGGTATGAACACACCACAAATTATCATACTGATTATATTTTGATATATGTGGTACCCCATACAATAAAACCAAAGATAGGTTGTCAGGCAACGAAATGCCCATAGAAGCTAAGTCGTCTGACCAGTCAACATGGTTGTCGCATATTTTTCGTCAGTTTTTCTCATGACATTCAAGAATTTATATTAACTTTAGCCTCTAGAGCATCAACAACATTTTTCAAAGTGATAAAGGGCCATAACTCTGGCAGTCATTATTGGAAATTGTTGTAAATCAATAGGCTTGGTCGTCTCATGACCTTAAACATTGTGTATAAATTTAAAGTGAATCGGGTATTAACTTTAGCTTCTAGAGTGTCCACAAGCAATTGTGGACGCCGGACCAACCAACGGAACATAGAATTGGTTTCTATATTCTGTCCCAACATGAGTGGATAGTATTCCATAGCAAGCCTGAGACATCAACAGATATTTCATTATTTGGAAGAATTGATAAATCATTTCAAAAAGTTTTTACTTTAATTCAGTTTGGTAAAAAAAAAAAGGTATCCACAGCAAAAGAAAGAGAAAGAAATGGGGTTTGATGTCCACTCAACACAAACTAGAACATTTCGGGACTTTATTTCAATATTTGCTTGCGCATAGGGGTCTTAAGCAGTTGGAGGAAACCAAAGGACCCAGAGAAAACCCACGAGGTTGGACAGGCGACCCTACTCCTTGTCAAGTACAACCAGGGAATCAAACCATGCCAGTTGACTCAATGACAGACCTTATGATACAGCGCGTACACACTTATTATTCAGCAATCCATCCCCCCTTCCCCCATATCCACAGCAAATGGGTCAACAAGAACAGAAAGACAGAAATCAACTCTACAAACAAACAGAAATCTGCTCCATTATTTTTTAGATAGACAGAAGTGACATTATAATAATAATAATAATAATAATAATCGTTTTCTATAGCGCTGAACATTCAGTCAGTCTGACTGCTCTGTGGCGCTTTACAATGTAGATATGATTATAAAAAACAAAACAAGCATACATGTATATACAAATAAACAAAAGAATACAAAGGAATAGTTACAATATACAAATGGAAAGTGAAGCATTTAAATTATTGTTTAAAAGTTTGGGTAAAAAACAGGGTTTTTAAACGTCTTTTAAATATAGCTAAGTTTGGACTATTTTGGACTTCCAGAGGCAATTTGTTCCACTCTATTGGTGCTGCGTACGCAAAAGCTCTCTCACCAAATTTTGACTTCTGTACTGGGCATACAAGTTGGTTTTTATGAGATGAACGTAAGGAACGAGAAGGTACATATTGTTTAATCAAATTGTGTTAATTTTGAAAATGATGTGTTGATTAACCGGTAGCCAATGTAACTGTTTTAGAACAGGTGTAATATGATCAGATGGTTTGGTGAGAGATACAATTCGAGCTGCTTTATTCTGGATTTTTTGTAGCTGACTTACAAGAGTTTTAGGAAGAGAATACAATAATGAATTACAATAATCTAAAGATGACATAACAAAAGTGTTTATTAACATTTTAGTGGCATCAAGGTCAATATAGGATCGAATTTTGCCAATGTTATACAGGTGAAAGTTCGCCTTTTTGCACAGTCTTGATACATGGGTTTTCATATCTAAGGACGAGTCAAAGAACACACCAAGATTTCTGACACAGTTGGATGGGGTTATTGCTGTGCTTCCAATAGTCACATGGTTGATGTCAATGTTCTTTTTATTCTCGATTATTATATTTTCTGTCTTGTCATCGTTCAATTTCAGAAAATTACAGTGCATCCACATTCTAATTCGTTCAATGCATGCTTCCAGTTCTGATGTAGTGGTATCTGGTGAAGGATCAAGTTCAACATATAACTGGGTATCATCCGCATAGAGGTGGTAATTAAGACCCATCTCACGGATGATATCTCCAATTGGTGCAGTGTATGCTGTGAACAAAATAGGTCCCAATACGGATCCCTGGGGAACACCAAAGTCAAGAGAGAGAGAGAGAAATGGGGTTTAACATCCACTCGACACAAACTAGGTCATTTCGGGACTAACATATGGTTTAATTTTATTTCAATATTTCGCTTGCGCGTAGGGGTCTTTAGCAGTGGGAGGAAACCGGAGGACCCGGAGAAAACCCACGAGGTTGGACAGGCGACCCTACTCCTTGCCACGTACAACCAAAGTCAAGAACTTTAGGCATTGATTGACATGCGTCAATAACAATACTCTGCTGTCTTCCACTCAGATAGGACTCAAACCACTTCAGTGCATCTCCGGATATACCATATCGAGTTTCAAGTCTCCCTAGTAAGATTGATTGATCTATCGTATTATATAATTGACTTACTCCATTGAGTCATCATACTTGAACCACTAGTTGACAGGAAATCACCAGATATATCCTTTTCACATACAGGTTTAGCAAATACATCACTTATAACATGACAGCTTCCATTCCTTTATAAATAATGTTAATATTTAATATTTAATCAGCCCTAGAAATAACGGTTTTAGATGTACCTGACGAAATGTCAGGCACTAATGAAATAGTTCCTGATGACATTTTCAACTTAGTGCCGGACATGTATTAATAATATCAATAAAAAAACAAATGAAAATGACAGGCACCAGAGGTTTTGTGCCTGACAAAGCCTGAATCAATGCCTGATATTGTCTGTGACAGGTGCCTTATTTCCAGGCTTGGATTAATGTTGATTTGATAATCAGATATATATACAAAACAAATATAAATATCTGGGCATGAGATAAATAATGAGATAAAGTGATTTATGTAAACTGTACCATATAGCCTACATTGTATATTTTATATTCAAAATTTAGTTGATAATAACAAATAAGAGAGAGAGAGAGAGAGAGAGAGAGAGAGAGAGTTTAACGTCCACTAGACACAAACTAGGTCATTTCGGGACTAACATATGATTCAATTTTATTTCAATAAAATCCACAAGGTTTGACAGGCGACCCTACTCCTTGTCACGTACTACCAGGGAATCGAAACCATGCCAGTTGACTCAATGACAGACCTTCTGATGCAGCACGCACGAGCTAACCATTCGGCCATCCAACCCCCTAAATAAAAGATATCTAGCAATCTTAAACTTATCTTCTACTGCGACCTACCAAAAGAAAATTAATTTCATTTCTACATTTGTTCCAGCAATATTATTATATATAGATAGGTGTATATATTCTTACTTGTCTTGTTGACGTTGTATTCTATAAGATGCCGATGTTAACTTGGCTATTCTCATTACAAAACCATCAGTAGTTTTAGTATTATGATTAGTACCAAAGTCAACTGATGATATACCATACCACACCCCTAATAACTGTTGATAGAAAATAATTTACATTATAACATAGTCTACATTATAACATAATCTACATTATAACATGGTCTATAGATGATATACCATACCTCACCCCTAATAATTGTTGATATACAATAATCTACATTATAACATAGTCTACTGATGATATACGATGCCACACCCCTAATAACTGTTGATAAAATAAAGAAAATAAGGCTTAATTTCCTATTTTCTGCATCAGCTGGGATATTAGCTTGAAAACGTTGAGAGAATACTCTTCGAAACGTCACCTAAATAAATCAGTTGTTGTTTTTCATACGTATGTTTATAGTTTATTTATCTGCCCAGTTACTAAATGCCACTTAAAGAATAATAGTGTATACATTAGTAGTCTAAGTATGTATATTATGACTTTGGTGAGATTAACTTCAGTTCAGTTAATCTCATCAATTATTTAGCACCTTGGTGCCAGTGGTCAGAAAATTAAAGTTGTTGATTGGGTAATCAAGTTTAGTAGCCTATCTTAATCATCAAAGAAGCCGCCACAGCAGCATGCCTGAATTAAGATTTTGCGTGTACAATAAGTCTATTGTTATTTTAAGTCTAAGGTACCGTAACGGTATCAAAATATGAGTTCATAATAGAATAGAAATCTCAATTTCATTGGCATGAAATGCTTACGTTCATTTTGGAAGCGCTGTAATTAAACAATGGCAGATTATTTTTCCCACTCGATAATCGTCGCGTTTCGACTCATTGGTCATTCTCATTTTCCCCACTCGATAATCGTCGCGTTTCGACTCATTGGTCATTCTCATTTTCCCGACCCATGGTGATAATAGAATTTTAAACAATAATAATATCCAATATGCATTCTTAACTTTACATGCCGTATGAAGCGATAGTAAACGGAATTCACCTATCAATAAAATTCTCTTCGGAAAGAAAATTATTGGCTATTTTGTTTATTTCCATTTAAGGACTATAAATTATTTTCTAACAGACCAAACGAGACATTAAATCATCGCCACTTTGATTAGTTATTCGGAGTAAATAATGAATTGTCGGTGGCCTTATCATTGTTAATTATCAATCAACTAATCATTAATCCGTGAGAAGTGATTACAGATTAGTATTATACGAACGGCTTGTTGATTGATTTACAATGTTTTGATTAACACTCAATGGCTATCTATATACGATCAGAATTAATTTGTTGGTATCCGAGGAGCTTTTTTTTTTGTGTTTTTAACAGTTTTCAAGCGTAAATAAGTTAATTAAATCAACCTGTCCATAATATCATATTCATTGTATTGAACGTTAAATCTTTAATAAGCAACAACAACAGTTGTTTTCTGCCACTTCTCAGAGGGAATCGCATGTAGATACACCATAACATTGCCCAAATCTAATATCTATTGTCTGCTTGAGCCTCGATGCGGCCACGGAACCACAATGCTTTGCAGGCGTCGTCTGGGCCAATCAGCAAAGGAGTCGTGTTGGAAGCATAGCAACAAGCGGAGTATGTTTACATTTTTAGGAGTTTTAAATCCCTTTTGTATTTCTTCAAAATGAATTCATCGGCAATACTTTGGTCATATTTATAAACTAGAGATTCTCCGCTTTACAACGATGCCAAGCATTTTGCAAGAGGATTGACAGGTCGCCCCGCTGCGAGCAGAGAAAAATATCTAATTCCGCTGAGAATATTCAGAAAATGACAGATTTAAGAATACGGTACTCTTACAAAACGTCCAAATAAAGGCATTTTAAAATGTTTTATTGCTATTTTGATCTTTTGAGTCGATAGATAGTATTTTTATTCACTCGTTTTTGTGAAAATCTCAATTTCGATCAAAATCAATATTTTCGCTTATTTTGTCTCTTGTGCAAAATTAATTTTGCCGCATTCCAACTCAATAACATGCGGTGGGTCACATATTATAAAGCAAATATATTTAACCAATACAATATATATATTACAAATATTTAGACAGTGTTATATACATGAAAATATTTCTATATAAGCTAGATATAATTCTATAATTGTATGGTAGATAACATTTTTTCATCTTGTAAATTTTTCCAGTGTTAGCCTACTTAATAATACTGAAAATTTATTCTTTTCATTAAATAGATAAATGAATAATTTAACACTCAAGGACATCAGAATATGAATGGAGAGAGAGAGAGAGAGAGAGAGAGATTAATGTCAACTTGACCAATTATGTCATTTCGGGACTAACATATGGTTCAATTTTATTTCGCAAAATTCGCATCCTCCACAGACTAAATAAACAAACAAGTGTCACCTGGGTAAAATCTTTTGATGCTTTTTATTCTATGCACCATGTTTATTCACCATGTTTAGAGACCAGTCAAAAAGAGAGAGAGAGAGAGAGAGAGAGAGAGAGAGAGAGAGAGAGAGAGATGGGGCTTAACGAACCTCCACTCGACACAAACCAGGTCATTTCGGGACTAACATATGGTTTTAATTTTATTTCAATAATTCGCTTGCGCGTAGGGCTTTTTTAGCAGTGGGAGGAAACCGGAGCACCCAGAGAAAACCCACGAGGTTGGACAGGCGACCCTACTCCATGTCGCGTACAACCGGGGATTCGAAACCACGCCAGTTGACTTGAATAAAAACAAGTGAATGTACAGACTATTCTATTTTCTCGTTTTCCCTTTTATAGTAACAGTCAATTACTTTTTTGAATTGTCAGATATCCTTTTACAGTCTCATATAACAACTTTTGGTCTTCTAAGGAATTATTAGTGAGCAGAAATTCCCCCGTGTATCTGTTATCGCTCGTCACTTCAGTCAGTTATATAGAGGGATAACTTGTGTTTTCCTTTTGCTTTCGTCACTTCCTTTTGTTGAAACCTTCATAACACATCTATCGTAGCAATTATTGAAATCTTCATTACGCATCTATCATAGCAATGATCTATGTATTAAAATTATATTTGGAACATGTTTAACTAGTTCTGTTCAATATGTAATAATGACTGACACCAATATTGTCCTTTAAGTCAAACTTAGTGTAGAAAATGTTAAAACCCATTTAATTTCAATTCCAAGAAAATCAGATAATAATTTTACTCTTATAAGAGTTCGCAACACACTTTCGATATGATGTAATCTATTGACTTTTAAATAACCTAGTATGTATACAGAACAGTCACACGTGATAACACAAGTATCTATCACCTATTACATCCTTGACCGTGTAGACCCATGTATATTAAGTGCAAATACTTTCATTTGAAAAAATAGCGTGTAGTAAAACTAGTGAAGGTTATCCATAAAGCTGTCTGTTTTTATATATCACTTTCACTAAATGTCCTTTAAAGGAGCTAAATCGATAAGATTTGTGACCTAGAAATTGACACAAATGGGTCGCAATGCATAAAATAATGTAATATGAATGTATATAAATTGATTAACATTCAATCGTTTTCGTTTTTAATCTAATTTCTAATCAGTAATGTTCAACAATATACGCCTGAAGTCTCAATCAAATGGCAATCTCTAGTGTCTGGTTATTCCAGTCTACACCGATAGTCTTATTGCGCATACTTTCCAGAAAAGAAAGATTTGCTGCTCAACTTTCATTCATGATTTAATCATGAAATAGATAATAGAGCCTATGTTTAATGATGATTAAGGCTAGGCCAAAAATTCACTCGTTTAAATTTCGATTCAGAGTGGATCAATTTGACTGAAATTTTCAGCAAATTCCCTTTACATTATGTAGTTTTTAACTATTATAGTGGAAACTGCCAACTCTTTATCTAATCGCTTATAATGTATCTTAAATAAAATGACAGAGATGTGTCTTTGGATGGAACTTCCATTTTGTAGGACCTGTACATTATTGAATCCATTCAGCAGAAGAACTTTCTGTCAAAGTATCAACACGCTATACAACATGATAGATTATACACACCGACGATATGATGTAACCTGACATATAGTTCAGTCAATATACTATGATATTATTTCCGTATATGCTTGTCGACCTATATATATTAAGTGGGTGTGCAATAAGAGCAGAAGTACTATTATACGATATTATACTAACCAATTAACCGACTTGCTTTAGTCATATTACTCTAGTCACTTATATCCAACCTATTCACAAATACAAAATGTTAAATCATTCTCGTAGTAATCTGGGAAAAAAGAAGAAACCCAAATTTGACCTTCTGACGTATCAGGTGACAAATGAAGTCAACCATGATCACCACTTACTATGACATCAACGCATGCGCGTCAGCTTGGGCGAGGTTGGAGACTATAGGTCTGTTCTATTTCAAGTCAGGATCAGGATTTCAGAGTTTCAAGTATTTATACTACTTGTATTAAAGGAAATAACTAAATATACAAAACCATAGGTAAGCATATCAACGTAGCATAATGACAGACGACCTACTCTCATGAGACCCAGAACTCTACTGTCCCTAACTGACCACCACACGTGCAGACTCACTATAGTCTCTTTCAACATTACGTCATAACGTCTGTATCAAATTAGTGGTTATACTAAATCACTCAACATGCACTACACACGAAACACAATTGATAAGAAAAAAAATGGCAGCCATGTTTTATCAACAGTACAGACATCGTGCTAATTCTAAAATAATTTTGTCGACAAATCCGACCAAGTTTCTACACTTTTTGCAATAGTTATCAGTCTAAATTTTAATTTCTAGTCAAATCTAGACAGATTTTGGACAAATCTGGTTTAGATATTTAGGCTACTCCATCCAAATGATAACAACTGATATTGACTCAAATTACATGAACAAATGCTTTAGCTAAATTTTAGTTATTGACTTGGGGCCTATTTCATAACAAATTAAACTAAGATATTCTTTGGAAGAGAGAGAGAGAAATGGGGTTTAGCATCCACTAGGTCATTTTGGGACTAACATATGGTTCAATTTTATTTCAATAATTCGCTTGCATGTAAGGGTCTTTGGAGGACCCGGAGAAAACCCATGAGGTTGGACAGGCGAAATATTTTTAGGATGCACTGATTTCATTGGCTGACAGATAAATCCTAGTACAAATTTAAGCTCTTTGCCAATGAAAGTTCTGAATTTTTAAAATATGTTTGTGTTCAGTTTTTGCGAATAAGGCCTCTGATTAAATATATATTTATTACCTTTAATTTTGATTTTTACCTGCATAAAATGACCTCAATTAACATTCTACTAGTGTCAAGTTCATCAGGATTTCCCAGGTTGGTTCAGCCTTGTCCATAGCGCAGGACAGAGGTAAGAGACAGTGCTTTGTCGTTTGAATGGAATGGAAAACGGAGATACCCTGTACACATTGGTATGCAATTGGAATTATAAATAAGTATAGGTCGTAGTGCCAATGTCCAGGTAACATTCCACTCATTGTGGATGACTGTCTTCATTAGCCTAATCAGTGAAATGAAATGAAGTGAAATAGGGTTTAACGTCCTACTGTTCTGCTTCGACTGGGCTAATGAAGAAGGGCATACGCCATACAGTGTGCTATGAGGGAAATTTTGCCCAGACAGCGGCACTACTGACTACTCTTATATCGAATTCCAACTGTCAAGGGATCTTTTACGTGCATGCCATTGTGTACACGGGGCCTCAGTTTTTTGTCCCATCCAAAGACTAGACAGCTGTCCTTGTCAGGCCCTCCGTCCTGCATCACTGACAAGGGGGAACCACTCTGGAAAACCTGGATGATCTTTTTCGGCCAATGCAGGGATCGAACACACCACCTCCAGCTAGCGAGCCAGCGTCTTACCCACTTAGCCACCGTGACCCCCTAGCCTAGTCAGAGTAGGACTTTAAACCCATTTAATTTCTAAAAAAACAATGTTCTTAATATTTCTTTCTTGCTATTTCAGAATGTCCATTGAGGGAATTTCGATGAATTGGGGCAAAATTGTGGTTGCCTATTCATGGACATTAATAAACAACATAATATCGATATTTCGATTACATCCTCCAATGAAACTAACAAATGAAGCAACCGAAGCAGAGAAAATAACCCAAGAAGACAGTGCAGCCGAGTTATTAGCAAATAACTCAAATAATACCCCTCTTAATGACGCAAAAATTCTCGATAGTCTACCAAACATAGCCGTGAATTTAAATGAAGCCAAAAATAACGCTGATGGTGACAACATTGCTAACAGTTCTGATGAGGATAGTATCACAGAAGAGAGTTGCCCTGAACCCTCTGAAGAATGTCCTGACATCGAGATCTGAAGATCTGAATATAAAACTAATGGATTAAAACTTGAAAAAATTGAATCGACAATGAAGAGTTGTCCAGAATACAGAGGACAGATAAATATGAACGACATCGTATCGGTACTCAATGTAGAAGAGCCAACTATATACATTGTCCATGATGAAAAAAGGCCAATGTCCCATGCCACTCTACTCTATATCTTCGTAAATGGTAAAAAGCCTTTGTATTTCGACTCCAATGGCGGATGCCCTACCTATCTACGAGATATAGTTGACTGGAACCGTTTTAAGGTACAGGCCGATTCTAACAACACCTGTGCGATACATTGCATATTTGTAGCCATCAATATCAGTAGAGGAAAACCCTGGCCGGAAATTCTAATGGAATATAAATGTGGAAGCTGTGATGATAACGATGAAAAAGTTATTCACTTCTTTGAAAATCTTACCTAGTAAAAAGCACTCCCTGGCAAGGAGCCTGCCATAGTCACAAATTTAGGTAGTCCAATGTCAGATAGTTACCCAATGTTCAACAATGTAAATTGATTTAAATATATTGTATTAATCATTTAGTTGTTTGTTGATTCTGTCTTGCAAATCAAAATTATTGGGTGTTACTTCATACCTTTTTTATGTCAACATCTAATTTGTGGCACTGAATTTCTCTGATTCATATTCATATATAAAGAGAGAAATGGGGTTTAATGTCATTTCGGGACTAACATATGGTTCAATCTTATTTCAATTAATTGCTTGCGTGTACAGGTCTTTAGTAGTGGGATGAAACTGGAGGACCCGGAGAAAACCCACGAGGTTGGAAGGCAACCCTACTCCTTGTCACATACAACCTCGGAATCGAAACCATGACAGTTTATTCGATGACAGATCTTATGATACAACGCACGCGCAACCAGCCATCGAACCCCCCCTTATTAAGAACAGACAAGGGTGACAACAGTTATAACATAATGGACATACTGTGATGTGTAAATTTAACAAACAGCTCTAAATTCACAATCACCTACCTACATCCAAGATAGTACCCTATACTACAAGCCGAAATTTACGTTCATCTGATAAACACTTATTAAAGATCCCTTGTTTAACACTTAAGACTGGAAAACGTGCATTTTCACACTCAGCGCCATTTCTTTGGAATCAGCTCCCATTACACATACGTCTAGAGTCATATCATTCTGTTTTTAAGAACAAACTGAAAACTTTGCTTTTTGAAAGTCTTTGTGATATTGACATCGAGAACAAATCTAGTGAACTCAAAGCGCATTAGAAACTGTGGAAGCAGTGTTTATGCGCTATACAAATACTGATATTATTATTATTATTATATGCATACTGAATACTAACGAAGGTGTCATACATAATCTAAATATTGTAAAACAAGAAATTAATGCCGTAAATGTGGTATATAAATAGTCGCATTTTTTTTTTTACACATTTTGGTTAATCAAATGCATGACTTTATAGGGTTAAAACCGCTCGTATGACCCCTGACATGACCTCCCATAACAACTGGTCAGATCTTCATGTAATGGAGGCCATCGAAAAATGAAATATAGATATGTATTTTAATCAGATTCATAGTATAGTATACCACATTTACTTCAATATCCATTTCAAATGAGACCATAATTTCTTGTTTTATAATACTATATAATATTTTAATTATATTTTTACCTGATTTGGGTCAATTGGTTTCGGAGTTTGAACATCTTTTAATTTACATGAACTAACCTCTGGGTAATCTACAAAACAAAAGTCAGTCTGTATTCATCCCCAAAAACACATTCTTTTAACAGCTACAAGATCTTCCTAAGTGTGCCGCAAAATTTTGAATGGCACACTCAGAAAATGTGAAAAACTATGTGATCCCAATTGAGCGTCTACTGGTGTTTATTTAGTTTGATTCATTTTATGTCTACAGTTGTAAGCCGTCTATGACTTGTCATGTTTTGCAAAATTCAAATATTTTTCATATATATCTTGCCAGGTGTGCCGCTATCTTTTCATGTGTTTCAAGGTGTGCCGTTGGTATAACAGGTTGAGAAGCAAGCACTACTGCATTCTGTGAAATCAGACATCATCTTCATGTACCGATTTATTTCCTTATTACTTCAACCAAAAAAGTTTTGAGTAGTCCGGATTCTGAATATTCCGAATTACGACATCAATCAGCGGTCCTGTACAATTTGTTACTTCAACGAAAAACATCTTGAGTAGTCCGGATTCTGAATATTCTGAATTACGACATTAAATAGCAGTCCCGTCACACGATTTGAGTTTCGCAAGTCAATTCATAATATGTGATCGTCCTGCAAAACGTGCCCGTACGGATTTGACGTTATAGCAGATTTTTAAGAAAGTTCCACGACCTACACAGAAGAAATTAGCCGTTAAGTATTCAATTAGCCGTACTACAGTATCCGACATTTTAAAGCGAAAAAATGAATTCAAACAGAAGTTTACTGATAACTTTAACAGTCGTAAGAAACGATTTTACTCGAACACTAAGTTTGAAGACATCAACAGAATGATGCACGAGTGGTTTAAGGGCGTGGACAGAGATACAATAATACTTCCAGTATTGAGGCAATTGAGTATTCCGACATGCTGTGTAATCAGGTATATTGTATCGATCCCTTACAATGTTGGAATTGATAAAAGTGCTCTGTATATCTGGTTTCCCTCTCTGTTAGTATTATCAAGAGGAAAATATCTGAATAACTTTTGATCGATGAAATAAGCAGTGGAAGTAAAGTAGGTATGATATAGCTGGAGACTAGTGGTAGGAGGACATCTAAACTGGGATCTCAGCCATACATAAGGGAGAGAGAGAAAGAAATGGGGTTTAACCTCGACTCGACACAGCCTAGGTCATTTCGAGACTAACATATGGTTTAATTTTATTTCAATAATTCGCTTGTGCGTAGGGGTCTTTAGTGGTGGGAGGAAACCGGAGGACCCAGAGAAAACCCACGAGGTTGAACAGGCGACCCTACTCCTTGTCACATACAACCGGCGATTCGAAACCACGCCAGCTGACTCAATGACAGGCCTTATGATACAGTGCGCACATTCTAACCATTCGGCCATCGACCCCCCTCCCCCCTATACATAAGGGGTTCAGGAGGACGATGTAATATGGTTATAGGGGTTGCTTCTCTAAATATTTTGATGGATGAAAGTAATAAAAGTATTTTACCTTCTGCTGATTGTTTAGACATTAAAGTTGAATGACCAAATCCAGTGATGTAATCCACACAATCAGCTGAAAATAGACACAGATAAATATAAACAATGATCATTTTGTCAATTTAATGTTAAAAGATTATTCTGTTAGAGAGAGAGAGAGAGAGAGACACACACACACACACACACACACACAGATTAACATCCACTAGTGGTAGGAGGACATCTAAACTGGGATCTCAGCCATACATAAGGGAGAGAGAGAAAGAAATGGGGTTTAACATCCACTCGGCACACACTAGGTCATTTCGGGACTAACATATGGTTCAATTTTATTTCAATAATTCGCTTGTGTGTAGGGGTCTTTAGCTGTGGGAGGAAACCGGAGGACCCAGAGAAAACCCACGAGGTTGAACAGGTGACCCTACTCCTTGTTACGTACAACCGAAAAATCGAAACCATGCCAGTTGACTCAATGACAGACCTGATGATACAGTGCGCAAATGTTAACCTTTCGCCCATCCATCTCTCCTACATCAAACAGCTATCAAAGTCTGACTTTATACGAAGCAATAACAACTCAATAACCTTTATGTATAACTCTATTGGTCTGAGACCCACATATAAGATGAGTAAACCCAATCTCTAACCAGACAGTAGAAGAACTCTGAGGAGTGCAAGCACGTGTCCAGAGGGAGGGGTGTCCAAGGGCATCAGTACTCTCCCCTTACACTCATGTGGAGTCTTACAGGAGAGATGGTGAAGAGAGTCTATACATTTAAAAGAGTAAATTTCCTTTAGAAATGGCCACAGATGCAAGGAAATCAAGTTTAAACTATCAAAATTTTATGGGGGCAGAACCCCATATCATAACTGAGACTGCGTTTAGTTATGCCGGAACAGGGACCCTGCTCATCCTGTGCTTTATTAAAGGTTTTATTGTTACAACTCTTAATGCCAAAAGTTGACATATTGTAACCAAATCATGGTAATGATATACATGAATTGTTTTCTTTGCGTATAAAGCATAACCTTCCTTCACGATTTAACGATTAAATGAATAATCGAGACTATGCTGTTTATCGTACTGACTCTAGTTATGATGATTGAGGCTAGGCCAAAATTTCAATCCCTTAGTTCTCGCTTCATAGTGGATCAATTTGAATGAAATTTTCAGCAAATTGCCTTTACATTATCTAGTTTTTAACTATTATAGTGAGAACTGCCAGCTCTTTATCAAATCTAGAGAGAGAGAAATGGGGTTTAACATCCACTCGACACAAACTAGGTCATTTCGGGACTAACATATGGTTTAATTTTATTTCAATAATTTGCTTGTGCGTAGGGGTCTTTAGCAGTGGGAGGAAACCGGAGGACCCGGAGAAAACCCACGAGGTTGGTTTATCAAATCTCCACCAATGTATCTTTAATCCTTCTGGAAGCTGAAGGAATTGACATGCTAACGATTTGTGTACGACATGAAATCAATATAACTGGATATAAATAAAATAATTGTTCACCTTCTTGTTTAACGGTCACCAGTTCTGACGCGTTTAAGCACAATGACGTCATCAAGGTTGGTAACTGTACTTTTAATTTTTCTCCCATTTCTTTGGTACGACCTAACACACCGATTTCTATCTGATCCGCTCGACATGTTCCATCAGCTTTTACATTATAACAGGCGTAATACATCACGTTAAAACCATCAAAATAAACCGTACGGAATTTAATCCACGGATATATACTATCCTCATCACCCAGTTTACCCAACATATTGGCGTCTGGTCCATCTTCGTGACTTTTGGCCAAACTCTGCATAGCTGTCTGACAAATTCCATCCCTGTAACAAAATATATGGAGAGAAATGGGGTTTAAATCCAAATTTATGGGTGTTACTTCAACATTGAATTTGTGGCACTGAATTTCTCTTTGATTCATATTCATATTTATTCATAAAGAGAGAGATAAATGGGGTTTAACGTCCACTCGACACAGATTAGGTCATTTTGGGACTAGCATAAAGTTCAATTTTATTTCAATAATCCGCTTGGCCATAGGGGTCTTTAGCAGTGGGAGGAAACCAGACAAAATATATGGAGAGTAGATATTGTACAACAGAAACAAAGACAGACTACCCCTGTCACTGTCTCCTGTTAACGACAAAATCTAAGAGAACAGATAACTTTTGTTGCTATAGTAGTCATAAAGTGATTTATCTCTAGAAGAAAGGGAGGCAATCTGGTTAAAACACAGATCCTATTTCGTTCTGTTTTTATAGTTCAAAATTTTATTTTACTTGTCTTTACTACACTTGGATCTGGAAGAGTTGTTATTTAACTCGCGTTCTGAATGGTGTCA